TTCTCCACTGTTTAGCATTGGTCAATCAACTACCTTTCACTCCCTAAGTCTAGACACACTCTGTAGCCAATATACATATGTATATATTTTATCCACCTCCCAACCATTTATAGTCGTCTCTACAGGGAATAAACTCGCTTGAGGTGAATTTTCAGCAATCTAACAAAAAATTTTCATCCAGCGAGTTTATCACTTGTAGAGACGAGTATAAAGGGTTGGGAGATGGATAAAATATACAGATTAGTTAAATAATGTGCCTAGAAATAGGAAGTGAAAGATAGTTAATTGACCGATGCTGGTAAGTAAGAAATTAAATTCGTTATAACGAATTCAAAAATCTATTATAACAAATTGCACCTTTCTTATTATGAATTCTGTAAATCGTTATAACGAACAAAATATATAAAACCATAACGCTACAGATCTGCAGCTAGTGACTCTGCTGACCTAGTAAATATCATAATTATACGTATGTACAATAAAAAAAGCAATACAACGAAAAAAAAACTCACTTTCCTCACTCCATAAATTCCTCAAATTTAATTTAAGAAGACTATGTTGAATTTAACCTTGAACTTAACCGTAACAACTGAAAATTCCCCCATGCAGACTTCATGAAGAATTGATACATGCTTTTTAAACTCGTCCTACGAAAAAAAACAAGTTGAGCTTTAATGATCAAATTTTAATTTGAGGAAGACCAGACATGACCTATTTCATAATTTTGAAGAAAAAGGTGTTGAACAAGGAGAACACTGCATATACGAATGACAACCATATTCCGCCACAGTTCATTTAAGAAATATTCTACAAGTGTTGCGGAACGTCACAAGATGCATTTTGATACAATTTTTACTATGCTTCAATAAGAACAGTTCTTGCGTATAGATATCAGAATGGGTTGCATATTATAACACTTATAAAGCCGTGCATGCACTGCCGGTAACATATTTAATGAATTAATGATAGGCCGTTTCAAGATGTATGCAATGTTGATGCAGTTTGGTTAGGGTGGAGATTGGGATTAAATTCCTGTGGGTTTATTTCTCTAAGAATATCAGATGGCTTTTTTGAAATTTGTGAAAATATCCGAAAGGAAAGCAACTCAATTACATGTTCTTTATAATTTTATCAATAAAAAAAGTTTTTCTTCTTCTAGATGTTCTATGGGCATAAGGTTCTTCATAGACGCAACTTTTTTTTTATTACTAAATTGATACTTTGGGCAAAAATCAGAGTTGAATTCATTAATTTATAAAATACTGCATTATAATTTTTATAGTAAGGGTGATCATCCATAAAAAAAGTCTAACCCACAATAAAAAAAAAATAACATAATATGAACGTCATTACATGATACCAAAAGCAGACGGTACATATTTACAATAACAGAAGTTTTGAAAGTTGTCCCCCAAACGAGTGAACCAGATTCCTTATTCAACTGCTGCAACTTGTACATGTATCTTTCCTTAAATAACCCAAAATGTTTACTGAATTCTTTTAAAAAGAGATACCGTTCCAATTTGAGTGTGTTCGATTTGCATACTTTTAAAAAAGCAGTTCAGAAGATCAAGTGAACTCTATGACTGAACCAAAAATACACGACATGAAATTGTTATCATCGATCGTGTCAGAATTTCAGGAAGGGTAGGGACGTATTGACGGATCTATTCCACAGTGGATTAACTAATCCGATGTCAAAATAGAAATCAGATGTGATAATCCTTCCGCAGAACGAATGATGCGCTGGAGCTCCCTGAAATAAGCACTTCCGTGTTATGTAATTTTCTGATAATGACACGTGCTGCTTTTCTGCGGAGATAACAATTAAAACCAGATCCGTGATTCAAAACCCGATTTTGTGTATCTTTACCAAAAATTGTTTATTTTCAAACGGCATGCAATCAGTGTCAAAAGAAGCAAACTTTTATTTTTGTTCAAAGACATTCTTTCCTAGAATGAGGTTTCGTGTTTCACATTTCCGAAAGAAAAAAATGTACATTTGTATTTTCTTTTTTTTAACAAAAAAAAAAAAAAAGAAAAGACAAACCAACCTTGGCGAAGGTATATTATTTCTTTACAACCAGAAAATTAATGAAACGAAGGAAACCGACTGGCTTAAATTCAAGGTTACGATGATAGACGATTGTATTTCTACGGCATTTGGATTTGGTGCGATGATATGCCATATCTAGTTGCTCTTTGATTATGTCTTCATGTAAAACTACTTATGTTGATAAGCAATATCTTGTTTTATCTAAAACACAATAGATTTATTTCATATATATTACACTAAATGAAAAAAAATCGTTACGTTTTTAGAGATCTGAATTATCCATTCTAGCTACAGCATCTTTACATCTTCGCCTGTCCGTATGCATGACTGTACGTTTTTACGTTATCTTAAGCCCGAGGTCATGATTATACCAGATTTTATTTTGGTCTATGGGGGTATGGATTTAATTCTTTCTTATGCAAGGTTCATATTAAGTAAAAGGTTATGCTGATTTAAAACTTGCAAAATTTGTACTGTTTTGTATCTCCTCATCTTGGTGGTTATTATAATACAGAAATTAGCTGAATGCTGGTATGTTTTACATGGTCATAAAACACAAGTTGATAAATTTCTAGTAACTGTGAAATTTGTGTCCAAATTGGGAGAAATCTTGCCTGGTAAAAGAAGATAGACATATTAACTGATCTAATGGGTAGAAATATGGTCTTGTTATGCGGGTAGTAATCGCCTGATCCAAGAGGGAAGAGTCACTGCTTGGTCCATGTAACGATAAATAGGAATGAGTGTACAATGTATTGTCTGATGGTACAAATGGGTAGAAATATATTGCATGGTCCAACAGCTGGGTATAGTAATATTACCGCATGCAAGTAAGAATAAATAATGCCTGGTTGAAATGGGTAGATCAAAAAGTTTCTGGTCCCAACTGGAAAAAAATATTTCTTGATTCAATGGGATATACATATATGTATATGTATTACATGGTCCAATCACCCCATTTTATACCGTTCTTGTAATATTTTAGGTAATGTGAATACACCAGTCACTGGTTTAAATTATAACAAAGGTCAAAAGATTGCGATATATTAATGATATTTCACTTGATTTTTATTTAGAATTTGTTTTACGGAGCTACTTTAAAACTTTTGCAAATTGAAGAAGTTAGATACAATCTGAAGTATGTTCTACAATTAAACCGTAAAATATTATATTTGGTCAATATCTATTCAAAGAAAAATGCATTTCTTGACATGTTTGGTGAAAAATCTAGCAAAAGAAATTATTTTCTGAATTTCTTGAGTTTTTAAAAAGACCCCCAACTCTCGAAAACTTCGTACACTATGACAAATATTGATTTTTATACAATTACATTACTAAAATCTATCCATTTGGTACAATGCTAAATTTGAAGGAAAAAAAATAAATTATAGTTGACGGTTGAACATTTTCTTTCGTCTTTTTTATCATGTTGCACATTTAAATTTAAACATCTTGCGCGGTAGTATCTAAAAAAAACCCCAACTCTCGAAAACTTCGTACACTATGACAAATATTGATTTTTATGACAATTACATTACTATAGCTATCCATACTACAATGCTAAATTTGAAGGAAGAAAAAATAAATTATAGTTGACGGTTGAAGCATTTTCTTTCGTCTTTTTTATCATGTTGCACATTTAAATTTAAACATCTTGCGCGGTAGTATCTTGCAGAGAATTTTTGATCAGTGACTGTCTGTTTGCAGATGTTCAAATTTACGTTGCGAATTTTTGTCCCTTACTGTTGCCAAACTTATATTTTAAGAGAAAAGGTTCATTAATTAAGTTTGGGATTGCAAGAAGTTACTGATTGCCGGAAAATAGGTCTGCGACATGCTTTGTCAGCTGGAAAAGAGAGGGTACATTTTTATTATTGCCAAAATTAAGTGAGAAAAATGTTACACAAATAACGTCTCCTCATTGTCTGTTATTTTGGGGATGGTTCATTTTGAACCAAGAGAAAAAAAATTAACTTTACATCTTTATCAATTCCTTGAATTTACATGCATGACTTTGCTCCGTATTTATATCGAAGTGTGTTGCCACGCGTTTCGATTTCCTTTCCATTCTAAGTTTTTTGCCTGTCGATATTCCGACATTTCTTATACATCGGTATGCTGCGTTATAATTTTCACTAGTTATGAAAATATAATGTAGTTAAATTTGCAAGTGCTTGTTTACTTTGTATATATATTTTTGCACTTGCAACATTAATTACTCAAATTAATCCATATGTAACCTTTAAAAAAAAAATCATTTTATAAAAATTTTCTTCTCAAAGTATTTATAATTCAAGTTCAGCGTTAGTCATAAAACCCAGAAGAACATCAATGGCGCTGAAACTAATTCCTTCGAATTTTCAATATTGCAAGAAAGTTTTTACCACTGTAGAGAAGGAATAACTTTATCTTTCCATCTATGTACATGTAGTAGTATCCAACTATCACTTGCATATGCTCTATCTCAAGAGCATGCTCTGTGTACGATAAGTTTTTCTAGGCAGGCTTCTGACAGGTAAGTTGATGTTACATGGATTTCAACAAACTCGTTTTAAGACAGGATTTCATAAATTCTATGGTCGTTATAATGACCTAGTTGATAAAAATATAAGCTATCATTGGGTCGTATATGTTTCATACAAATTGACTAGTTTTATACTATAGGTATTTCAGGCATTATCACAAAATTGTTACATAATTACTGAATTTGACTACGGAATGTTCCGTTTACCTGATCAACAAATAGGGCTCACAGTGGGTGTGTTCGGTCAAGTGGGGATGCTCACTCTTCCTTGGCACTTGATCCCACCTCTAATCCCAGGGTCCGTGTTATATGCCCTGTCCGCATATTTCTACTGTTTTTAGATTTTTGGAGATCAATCACTGTTCTTTATCTTCACTTTTTACTAATATTGTGAATCTTGCAGTTTTTGAACAACAAGTATTTCTTTTCATATTTTTATTCCAAAGATCAGTACAAAACTACTTACATACCACAAAAACACCAAGCCAATGGCATGAACAAGTAGAAAATATATTTACATGATGACAATATTTACATATGAATGAAGGCACATTCACATTCTCTACATATTCACAATGAGTCAATGATGTGTTTTGCTTATGATTACATGCTTCTAATGAATTTAAATTACCCAGATTACGTCACTTCCAGGTCACGTGTTATATCAGGGTCCTGAATTTTCACTTTAAAGTGAGGCTGGTCATCATGTAATGACGATTGTTTATCGACTGGTGTACCATATTTCATTTTATTATCTTTGTTCATTTGCATTTTTTGCTCTTGGTACATTTCGTACTTAGGGTCCATGTACATTTTATTTTCTGGATTGTATTTAAACATTTTTTGTTGATGATGATGTTCATGTTGAGGCATATTGTAACGTGCCAGCTTGGCCAGATTTTCGGTGAGGGTAGGGGGCGTTTGTTTCCATCCGTACCCCGTCCACCCATAACTACCGTCTAGCTCAGTTTGCGGGGGCATATCATGTCTCTCTATGATGGTCGTAAGGCACGTGCCTTGGGTGTATGGGGAAGGCGGAGGACTCGTTTCGTCCTCCATGTACGGGTCAAGGACGGTGAACTTTTTATAAGTTCCGGGATCTGAAGACTGATCCGGATATTCACCCTCCGATGGCTGTGAATTCGTTAAACTGTTCCTGTGGTCTTTATAATTTTTGCCTCCATGGGGACGTGGTAGGGAAAAATAACCCACGGGAGGAACACTCTTTTTGCTTCCGAGGGTAGTGGTTGTACTGTTGCTGGACATTTCTATTGTGCTCTCTTTGAGTTTTTCGTGTTGCTGCGCAAGTTCTCGTTCCTTTCTCTTCCGGTTTTTCTTGCAACGCCATGAGACACATATTGCAATGATTATGGCTGTGATTATAACGCCACCTAGGATACCGGCTCCTATGATGTACAAAGGCACCTCGGATTCTGCCATAGAAAATAACAAAGAATTAATCAGATTATTTTTTTCGGATTTTTGTTTAATCATTTCTAAACACATCAAAGAGATCACCATCATTATCAGACTAAAATCTATTTATTCATTGGCTATCGCCCATTATGTGGATCGAAACTGAACGCATTCCCTTTGGATTCCAATCTTAAAATTCTAACAAAGCTGCTTTTCGTTTTGTAATGTTATTCCCCAAACACACACCAACATGGCGTTGATTGTTTTATAAACAATTTAACAATTCAAACAAAGACTAGAACCATATGATATACATATCACCTAAGACAAAATTAAAAGAAAATTGTATAAAATTGCAATTGGTCTGTAGGACTCATGAACATTATGCCTCGTTTCCGTTTACCGCCATCTGCCAGCGGTCTGGCTTTTGTTTAATATCGCTCAGTTTATGATGTGTCAGATCTAATCAACAGAAAGATGGCCGGAATAGATCGCGCGTGTAAGGAGGTAAATATTTATCAACCTGAATTATTCTTACATGCAAGACAATGAAATGATCTGTCTGCAAGAGCTGTGTGCCCACTCGGGTACCATTATTTCATGCAAAAAATTTTTAAGGTGCAATGGCATATTTGCACCATACACTCTGGTATAATAATTGCTTGGTGTCTACAATTTAACGGTTTCTTGCATTTCAATTTTATCACTTGTGAAAGATTTTTTAAAAAAATTCTTGTCCCTATAAACCTTTTCTTAGACTGTTAATTCAGTTGCATTTTTCAAACTACAACATTGAACTCCTTGCACTAAAATGCAGACTATTTTGGGTTTTAACGAAGAAGCTGTAAGAGACATGTCAACTGTTGCGATAAACTTTGAAGTAAATTGTTACATTAGACACAGATAAATTAAACTTTTTACACGTCTTTTGTATTTATCAACAAAGAAGTGAAGAAAGTCTAGAACATTTTATACATACCTTCTTCTTTTCCTGCACATTTAATCTCATCTTGCGCTGACGGACAATTTTTTATGCCATTGCACAACAAGGATTTACTAAGACAACTTTTGTCGCACATGAATTCTGATGAAGAGCAAACCAACTCATTCTTGTTTGAGGAATCTGAAAAGTCCAATAATGTTAAAGATATTATCCAAGAGTGTCTTGTCAACAATATCATAGTTATGCGAAATATATATTAAGTCTTTAAATGCATTAAATGGTGATGTCTTTGAATAATAATGTATATTTTTCTGAATATGATCTGAGTTTTTATGCTTAAATATTTAAGTAAAACCCTACCAATGGGACCTGTTATAAATGTTGGCCTGTTTGCCTCCCGTAGAATGGTGTAGTAAAACGTCATTTCCGGTTTGATTGACAATGCAGGGGAAAATACTCTAATGAATGCCACACTGCTGTCGATTATAATATCTGGAATAGAGCCCATACAATATGACCCTTTAAGAGCACTTTGAGTTGTATATGTCTCGTAAATTTCGATTCTTGTTGAGTCACATGGAGAAGATAGTTGTACGCGCCAAGCCACTTTGAAATTTGACAGGAAAATCTGAAATGAACAAATTGATATGCAACCCAGCTGGATTTTTGACATAGTGAATGGCATAAGCTTAATACCCAGTACTTTCCAATAGCACATTATAATATTTTTTTTTAAAATACATCCCAAAGGAAGTGAAAATATCTTATGTAATACAAAAATTATAGGAAGTCCAATGCTCTTTGGATAGAGTGGCCAAGTACCTTGCTCCGCGGTGGAGCCTGTATTTCCCACGTGCAATCTACATTGCCATTCAATAATGGCGTCATATCCGCAGACGACAAAAATCCATGCATATTGCTAACAGGCATTCGACATACACTCAAGGCCTCCAGTTCAGGTTTGTAGCCTGCAATAAAAAAGAGCAAGAATAAGTCAACTCCAAATTAAAGACCAGTATATGAAATTTTCAGCCTTTTGACACGAAAACATACCCTCTTTCTTGATGAAGCTATATATTCCTTTAAATCCACCGTAGTTTGCAGCTTTGTCACTCTTAAATCTTAGCCACAAGTACCTTCCATTGGAAATAAGTAATGGCGGGAACCGTTTCCCGCAAAACCTTCCGAACAGCTGAGAGTACCCGAATGGTCCGTCTCGAACCTCCAAGAAATCGTATGGACATTCCTTATTCTGACCGGATTCCATGTCAAATTTTTCTCGGAAGTCGAGCTGAATTTCAAATCCTGGTTGTGCTACAAAGAAATAGGAAATAAAATATATATCAAAACTAAGGAATTAAACATATCAAATCTGAGAATTGCTACATCTTTTTTTAAACAATTCTTTTTTCTTGAGACCTTAAATTCTTTATAATTGATTCAGTTGCATAAAATAGAAGAACTAAACTTAAATCATCAAATAATGAATATTCAAGTTACACTTACTTTTTAAATAAAATATGTTTATCAAAGTTCATGAAAAATTTGCTATTTTTACCGCATTAGTAATGGGAAACATGAAATCAAATGCCATTATGTTGATATTTTTTTTTCATTAGGTCACAATTTTGCATAAATGTTTATATACTACATAGCAAAAAGAAATACTAGCTTAGTAAGCATTTTTCTACTCCGGAAAAGACTAAAACTTCCTTTCATAAGCAAAAATAGACTACGGACTCTCTGTATGTTATTGTAGGTAAACTGTGGTTCCAACACGTGCAAAGCATCGTTTGTAGCAGCTTTCAGAAGACATGATGAATGGTTACCTAATCTAGCAATTTAATTCGAAGGAAGCTTAAAGAGCTATTTAGCGACAGGTGGACTTCTGTCTGACTGGCGAAATAGGAGGCAGTGTCAGAAAGTGTAATTAGAAAGAAGTATTTATTCAAGAGATAAGAAAATGATTCAGTCGTTTGAAATTACATATGGTTCTGTTATGTTTGAAATATTATACGAGCTGGTGCAATTTCAGAAGAACTCTTCAGTTAATCCTTTTGCAAACTTTCTTCACATACATAGAGCATGTGGACGCAAAGAAGTCAATGTTTTCCGCTGAGTTTTCTCAAACTTATCGTACATGCTTTAGATTTGATGAACACATCCAGGAATGTTTCATGAGTAGAGGAGATTACCTATTTATAGACTACCCAGGATAGCATACGTGGACTAAGTTTGTTTGGTCCCAAATTCTCAACTCCAAAAAGTTTCATCATATTAGACCCCCTTAACAATAATTTTTATACATTTTGTTTTTTTAACTGTTTTGAAAAGTATATGAAGAAAGCAAAAGGGGCACGTTTAACAACTGGTTTTTCATTGTGCAAAGTTATCATGCAAACAAAAAAATTGCTTTTCAAGAGCTTCCGAGAATAAAGTATGTAAAACGAGCGGCCCGCTGTAGACAATTACCGAAATATGTTTACAAAATGCTTCTTCGTGATAATAATGAAATGCTTATATTGAGGAAATGTTTTCAATTTTCTACAAATGCAAATGTTTCAAAACTTTTGCAGTTTTGAATTTTTTTCTCCTGTTAGAATGGCTTGTAGAAGGCGGGCCCTTGCGTGCAGTATTGCTGGAAAGTAATTATTTTTTCTAATAGAACGCCGAATAAACAGATACATTTTATACATTTCTCCCACAGGGAAGAGATCGAACTGGAGGCATTTTTATAGAACACCACGAGGCGAGACACATTTTCGTATTACTCCTCGCTATTTTAATTTGACACAGGCAGCCCCGATTGAGCCAATTAAGCCTCCAAAATATCAGAAAAAATGGGGAATGAATTAAGCAGCATCTTATAACTTTATAAGCCTTTTAATTTTGGTTCAAGTACGGAAGTTTGGAAAAGACTGAAGTCAAACTTCAAGACTTCAAGAAAAGAATCATTAATGTTAATTCGCTACGAAAATTAGATTATGATTTCTAAAATGCACGAAACATTTGTTTGCTAAGATACAGTTTCTTTTATCTATAAACTTAAAAGTTGATGCTTTCTTTTTGAATGATGTCATAAGCAGACGACAAAGATGTATTATTGCGTCTCGTGTCTATACCATTTACTTCGCCTTCAAAAGAGAAAAATTTTCAACACCGTACATTTACAAGAAAATCTGAATTTCAAACCAAAAGGTATATGCAGTTTTTTTCTCGAATTTATGCACATCTTAAAAGCACACATCTGGATAAAACATTTCTACAGCAAGATCACAGACGAAGAAATGCTTAGAAGAGCAATTGACACCTTTGCGGATCAAAGTTTACTTAAGAAGTGAATCGCATCGATAATGACATTTTACTCTGCAATTAAATCAACATTGCTGGGTGTTTATTGATGGAAGATGGCAGAGCAAGGCGATACCTGGGGCTTCCTGCTGCAACGCTCGACCAGGAAGAACTATAATCGTTAATTCTTTTGATGGGATTAACAGTTATCTCTTTGTGACTCCGTGATGATATACAAAACACATTCTTTACTGATCTTGGATGTTCTTCTAACGATTGATATAAAAAAGTGGGGGTTTTTTTACGAGAGAGGGTTTAATTTCGATCAGAACGAACCTTTGCCATTGCTGAATCAGCTATCTTGAGAGTACAACGAAGTGAATTTCAAATATCTTCTTGTCTTTAATCTTTTCACTTGGGTTTTCTCCTTCAAAATTATCAATATCTTTAAGTTTAATCAAAGAAGATACCCATTTGTTTAAATATATTGCAATTCTTTATTCGAAAAGTAATTACTTGGGTGTTTTTGTGGTGAACTTTTCTTGCTAGAAGACGGAATAAATGTAAGGATATAAATGATAATAGGAGGTGTTCGGTGTGAACTGCTATAATTTCTACTTCAAAAAGAGTTCACACCTTTTTTTAACTTTCTTTATAAAATATCGATGCTTTTTAAGATAACATATTGGGTAACTCTTCACATGGCGAGAACCGTAATTGCTATTATTCCTGCGTATTTTTTTAAGCTTACATACATCATTTGATCTAACAACTTTCCTCTTCTTGCCATAACTCAACAAATTAGTGTTAATCGTCAGAGACTGACAGATAAGTGTGTAGAAGCATCTACCAGCACTTGTCCAAATAATCGTTTTCGAACAGGTGAACTCTCCTTACAAGAGAGGTACAAAATTGGAACAAGATGACGGACGCAAGATGAAACACTAGAAATCAAGCGATGCCATTAGTACGTCTTAGGAAAATGATATAAACTTATGGGGAATCTACTTTGGGAAATAACTAGCATATTAAATAGCACATAACGGTTTGTTATTTCTTCTATAACGATGAATTATTTGTAAGCCACACGTCTGAACAATGCGTTCGGAATTCATGATGACTGCCGATTTTCGCCAGCTTGCGTTTGACCAAAAACTCTTTTTCGAGAATACGACAAAGTCAAATATCATTGACAATTAAAGAGTAGTCAAACATGAGGTCAAAGAAAAGAAAGGTAAAAAAACATGGATTTATACACAGGTATTCCCTGGGTTTTATCTATGGAAAAACCTCCTAAAAGAGCTTGTTTAAAAGAAAGAAACTTCTTGATGCAGCTGTAGATTTCGATCCTTTATTGTGAAGAGAAATCCTCAATTTCTTGTTTATTGACTGTCAGATGTCGAACAGTACCAAGATTGATTGATTGTATGTTGTTTTACAGCTCATTCGAGAATTCATCTCTCATAGAGAGTCATCAACTTATACAAGTACTGGTGAAGGGCTTCAAATCTAGACCTTTACGTGGCCTTCTGAGTCATTAAGCAGTGAGGGATCTTGATCGTGCTAACGACTACTTTGACACGGAGCCTCAAGTTTTGAGGTATCATCAGAAAGACCAATGCCGAGCGCTTGGCGAAGGAAGTGTTGCTACCTTCTGGTTTTTTTTTTGGACTTGAGTCAGTCGCACCTGGGGTTTGAACCTACAACCTTCAGATCAGGGAGCAAGCGCCCTAAATAGTATCATGAAGATAAACTGAAGATTTTGATCATCCACTGTCCAGAAATACTCAAGTTCTTGTTGAGCTTTTATATTTCGACCAGTGAAAAAAAGATAAGGATTTTGCTGACTATATTTATATGTGCTGTATGCTGGGTAGTGAGTAAAGGGGTATATGTGAATATATACCTATTTAAGTATTTATCACTAAGTTGAGTGAGTATATGTTAAAATGTAATATACCAATACAATGATTAAAATTTCCCCACCTTCTATGGCTCGGACACACTCTAAATTGTTGGGGTACTTTTCTGGGAAATTTGGGCTGTAGAATTCCATTACACCAAAAGTGAAGTTGGTACAAGCATGGTCTATTTTGTTGCCCAAAAGGTGTTGGTGGTTATAACTGAGGGGATTTGGCGAATCTGTCAATATATAAAAGAAATAGGCAAGGTGTAAAGATGAATGTTTTTATTTTAGTTTAAAATTATATTTTGTTTGAAAATGACAAGCCGAAAAAAGAGTCAAGTTGGTTCAAAAAATCAAAAAGGATTCGGAAAGAAGTTTTACATACACATACTTTCTGTAAAATGGTTGAATGGAATTGTGTATCTAAAGTTTAAACCATATTACACGTAATACTGGAAAGATTTTCAGTCAAATTCATTATTCACGTCTGATATTTGACTAATATTCCAATACCATTGACTCACTGATCCTAGACAAAGTACTTAAGTAAAATTTCTGGTATTTATAAAATAATTGGGATTATTTTTCTATTGGTCCTACAATCCCAATTCAATGACCTCATCACAATAACAAAAGCAAACACATTACAAGACAAAACCTTCAGATGAATGAACAGAATCGTACACCGACTCATTTCTTACACGATGAAGATAAAGGATATTTATTTTCCCAAGGATACCGCGTATCTCAGAGTATTTACGAATTGATTTAACCCGACATTTGAACGATAAAAGACGCGTGCGTGATGATCGCCTTCGCAATTTACTATCTTGCTTCCGAATTTTCAGATGGGACAAACTGCTGACCCTCATTTTTCGTAAATCGTTAAAAATGTTGATAGAAAATATTAACATTTTAAATTAACTACGGTATATATCATATTGTTTTTCACATTTTGTAGGTAAATAAAATGTGTAGTTCCAGCAGAACAAGCACTTTTTCACGGCTTAGAGTCAAAATTTTCCTTTTCAAGCGTATTATATACTTTGAAGAAAAACAGGAACGGATTTTATCCCTACTTTTTCTTTTAAAATTATATGAATACGCCGTAATAATACTTCAGTTCTATTTTAAGAACCGAATGGGTTTATAAAAGGTTTGGTAAAAGACAAAAAATTGACGGAAGACGCTCTTTTGTTTATGGGTTATCGTACACTCAATCATTCGACCTGTGGGAGATTCAATAAATTGTCTTTATCAGTCACTGTCATTTATTTTTTTTTTGGTACGCTTTCCGATGAGTAACGTCTCGAAACAACAGATGTTTGAGGCTTTATAGTAATAGAGACAGAGAAGGAAGAGTTTTAGCTTCCCAGATTTTAAAGATTTTTGATGAGAGAGAAGAGACAAGCCTCCTTTTGCCCTAAACATCTTTTGCCGTGTCTAAAAATTCGTCTTAAACTTCTTATCTTATGTTGTCATATGTTTTTTTTATCAGTCTCTACCTCTCCTTTCTAGGTTGTCTGGATCAATCAGGGGCGATTACTCCGCCATGTGGAGACATGGATTCAATTCGGAACTCGTAGATAAAATCACTTTGAAGACCAAAAGAACGCGAAGCACGTGGCGATTGCTGAGTGCCACGATCCCCCACCATCACCCAGTTTGGACATACTGTACATTATAGAAATTCGGCCTTGCATGCTTTGAAGTGATAGAAAATAGAAACTTATCTAGACATCGACCTCTCATATGTTATATACAATTCATCACAATGTGTAAATACAATTAAATATATCACACTCTTTAAATCTTTTGTCCGGTATTACCGTAATTTCAAAGAAAAGGTTTAAGAAAAGAAATTGTAGTATAATAACAAAGTTTTTTTGTGATTTATATATACATCTATACAGGTGCCTTTCTCTAATACCCAGTATTCTTTGTAGGGAAAAACTAGAAAATGAAGCAGGCATCGTCTGACATTTTAAAAACGGAATTTAACTCTGTAGCAAACAAAGTTTTATGACAATCTGTTTTTGAATTTTACTTACCTGTTTTATTAGCGTATGAACTTTTCAGAATCCAAATCGAATACACTAACCAAAACATGGCGGATGGAAAACCTGTTGAATAAAGCAGATGTGAATATATGCAGATTTTGACTTAAAAAGAACAACAAAAATAATGATGGTTTTTATAAGAAATTGGCAAACAATGAATCGTTATTATAATCTTTTCATGCCTGTCTTCAGTGTGTAAATGCGTTTATCGTGCACTTGCAATAGACTTAAGTTACAAGTACCTCATGTTATTCTTTGAACAAAATGTTGCATATTTGTTTAATGTTTCCTGATACTAATTAATACCCTATGTGTGTACTGTTCATCTAGTCAGTATGCATTTTCAGCTTGAAAAAAAGAAAGAAAGGGATATTCGTCATGACATCTTTGGACAACCCCGGAATGTCATGTATCCCTGGAATGAAGGCATTCGAATAGCCTCTGTGGATTAACACAAAGATGGGTTCTACGAAATTGCAACGTCGATTTTTTGTTCTTTTTGGCATGAATGGCATAAGATATCTGTTTTACACGTGCAAAATCTGATTACTTTCTGTGTTCAAGGTAAAAATATAGCGATCCTCCCCACTAAAAGTCAAGCAGAAGAAAAAGAAGCTGTCACGTGAATCTTGTCGTAAACCAGCTAGTGACGCAACGGGAAATGAATGTACATTACAACTATGGAGGTCGGCTGTTGTCTTGTATACGAAGGGTTATGAAGATGTCGATGTAAATTACATCTTGAAGTTTGTAATCAACTTCTGCTCATAAAAGCTGCAACATATACCTAGCTCGATAACATATTGAAGGTTATTTGTTTCATATGTGTAATTTTCAAGAAAGTTTTTAACAGTTCTTTCCAATAAAGGTTTCCAAATTTCATCAATTTATATTTCCAAGACCTTTATATCATTGAACTGGACGTTCAGTTGGGGATGGAATCTTGACTTGCTTATCTTTGATTGTTTTTTGTTTGTTTTATTTTGTACTTGTCAAAACTGAACTATCAGAAACATATACAGCAAACAGCTTTACAGATTTAAACAATTAAATGGTACTCAGTTCCTAAGCTTGCTGAAAGGAACTGTTTGTCCAGGCTTGAGTGAGAATAAATAGACCTTAAAGATTTTAGTGCAAAATTGTCTGGGAGGCAATGATTTTAAGATGGCCATGCGCGTGCAAGGAGAACAATTAACCTATCTCATCGCTGAAGTCAACAATTTATTTTTCTATTACATGAAATCTTTATCATAGCAAATGATTATATGATCGACATTCTCAAACATGTATGTACAAAGACTAAAAGGCAGGTCCTTTTCAGCTTTGGTCACCTGATTAAAAAATCAAAATTATTTTGAATGGATTCGGTTTGGTAAAATAGAACTGAACCAATTCAGATCTGACACTTATATCCTTATCTTTACATGAGCCTGATGAGGCAAGTCCACCTTCAATGTTTTCGTATCTTCACTTGAACAAAAATTTGTACAGGCTTCTATCGATAAATAACACGTTTTAAAGCGATAATTTACAAAAAAAATAGGGCATGCCTTTTTATTTTTCTAATCACATTCATACAAAGCAAATTCAAGCCAACCAATTCTTTGCTTAATATAAGTATTGCTTAATTGATACCTGTTTGAAAGCCTTCTTTTGTTCAAATTAGCCAACATGAAACGTAAAAAGTCGTTGCAAACTCTGTTCAACATTCAACACGAACAAATTTCTTGATTATTTTTTCAAGTATCTTAAAGAGCACAACTGGTTTTGATTTTTTTGTGAAAGGAACCGTCTTGCTAACAAAGCGCTTGATATCAGACAAGCGCTGGGAGATAATTTTGAAAAAGTTGCCACCATGGACGACCTTTGCAAATCTATGCGTTACATGCACAACCGAGAACCCGTAATATAAAACACTAGAGATAAAATTCATTGGCAATAAAGATTTCCAAAAGATAAATAAGAACAAAACTCGTCAAGACTGCTGCCCCGAACATGTAATCAGCATAACCTCAACATTGAAATGAAAGTGAGAGCGCCATTAAAAGACGGGGAAGTTAATTGAAAGAATGCATCATCGGGAGAAAAATCATTTTGAGGATGGTACAACTTAACGAAATATTCTTTCTCTTAAACCTATCCCTCACTTGATTCAATATTGTATGAACATCGTTTCCAAATGATATAGGTGTACCTCTTTTCAAACAATGTGAATGTTGTGTAAGCGATTTTTCGTAAATCTTTTAAAGTTCTGTTTTCTCTTTCAGATACCGGTATATTTACTATGGATACTTGTTAAATACAAATTGTCAACACAAATAAATGTTGTGGGTGGCGCATAAAGTAATAACAGGAATAGAGAGATCGAAAACGTCATTAAATGCCACTATCTTGTGCTTAGATTGGATCCCAAAAGAACAGAAGACACGCCGTCATATTAAGGTACAAGTAGAAACAATTACCGAGCTCCCAAGATCAAAGGTTAACCCACTGCTAATGATACGACGAATTTTCAGCGGTTATCCTAAGCCGCTATAATCTGCCAACTCGGGTTCTGGCTCGCGTGCTTGATTGGGTCCAGAACCACTGGTAAAACTCAGTCGTTCTCCAGCAGTGCGGACCTGTCATCAATGTCAATTTCTGCGGACCTATCATATTTCGTCTTCCGGTTTTGCATTTTTTTATTGCACTTCAGGCCACATTTATGCACTGAATGCGACTTTGATATCAACATGTTTTGCCACAGTGGCAAAAAGACAGTTTTCACACTTTCTGTCAGACTCGTGCCAGAGCACTTGGCAGATCATGTATGCTCTTGAGATGAGAGAGTACTTGAAATTGCTGGTGAAACAATGAATCACAGTATTACAAGCACAGTACAGCTGTCAGGATTGTATGAGAAATATCAGTTACAATGTCATTAGTCTTTCAAGACATTGGTAATCCTGAGTTCAAAACAAAGTAACCGTACATGCAGTATACTTAAGTTTATCGTCATATGCTTCAAAAAGCCGAATCGGTAGATCATAAATCCATTCTCAAAAAATGTGTCGTGACAAATTTTAATTTCAAAATTACTTCCATGTGTATTGCTAAGTTTTTACACTTATTAAAAGAATTTTTGTTTAAAAAAAAAAATGAGTGTTTCTGTGTATAATCGCTTCATGGTAGAAAAAGTATTTAATCACTATTAATGTCACAATTATTTTTCTGATAGCTCGGCGGGAAAATGAATGACTCCTTAAACTCGAAAGAAACAATACATATCCGAAGTGGTGAGAAAAGAAAAATGAAAGAAAACATTTACCATAGTTTCAGCGGACGCAGTTAACTTCTTTTTTCATTAAAAATTACGTCAAATGGAGAGGGTGGTGCCAGTTTTTATGGGATTTGTGTAGATTACCAGCGGAGACACGGATTTTCACTGGGAGCTATAATTCTATTTTGAAATTAAACAGCAGCTAAGTGTTTGAAAATTGAAAAATACGATGAAACACCATAAACTATCCCCCTGACGCGCACAGAAAGAGAGAAGAAATTATTTCAACTGAAACTTTGCAGCAATACTCATTATTTTAAGTTTTTGTTTAAACAAAAATTCATTTTGTTCCTACAGCGAGAGTGAGAGAGAGATTTCCTTTTCTTTTCAACTAAAATTTTGCAGCAATGGTACAAGTCATTCCAAATGTTCTTGAAACCAAGATACATACTGTTCTGGCAGAGAAAAAAAGGGAAAGAAAGAGAGAGAATGAGAGAGAGAGAGAGAGAGAGAAGGAGGGAGAGAGAGGAGGGAGAGAGAATGTATACTAGCGGTACATGGGTGGTACATATAACAGTTGTCATGTTGATGTTCGTTATTTTTGCTTCATCTTTCTGTTTTGCATTAGGCGAGAGAATGAGATCTTTTCTGTGACGAAGAACTAGTCGTTGACAAGATTATTAATTCCTCTCGTTGTTATCAGCAATATATATCCATTTGCAACAGACATTGTGTTGAGAAGTTATCAATTCCTTTTCTTTTTGTGCCCAACCGTTTTGGTTTTTGTCCAAAGTAATGATTAGTTCTTTCTGCTCGTTAGTAAAGAAATTCACCTTGCAAGTATTTTTAAGGACTGCCAAAATGTTGCTAATGTAATAATATTTCAATTCAATTTAAAAATACAGAATTATAAATTTAAAATATAATATTTAAAAGTTACTTACCTTTAAAAAGAATTTCCATCCTCAAAATGAGATTTGATTTTTTTTTTATTTTCACTAAAATATTTTCCTTTCTCACGTCAAGTGTCAGGCGATTTTTCAAATGAGAAGTTTCATTAAATCTTTTTTATCACCCCCGTTTCCTCTTCGTATTATTATCCTAACATCTAAATTCTTATCTTCGTCTCATGGTTCAGATGAATAAATACAACCTCGACGTCCAAAAAACACCTTCTCCGTGAAAATTAATGGTAAATCCGATAGAAGTTCTGTGAGAAAAAAAAGAAAAATGACACACATTAATATTTTGTTTATTTATAATCTTGCAGGAGAGATATATTTTCTTTCTTCTGCACTTTTGGATATGACGACACGAAATAGAGGCTGAAGTCGGGGTGCGTTGGATTCGGTCCTAGCAAATGAAGAGCTCTGTGCCAGCATTGCTCGTTTATCTAGGCATCCTCGACTCACATAACGCTGAGATGAAAACGATAAGCATTCAGAGCTATAGTAACCTGTCTTGTTAATTCGATTCATTACAAGTTATACTTCATTCTTACATGTGTTTTTTATTTTTCGCAATGGCATTAAAAACTCAATCAAAAAAATCCTTCTGCTTAAGCAATTCCATTAAACCGATGCATTAATTTGCTATCAGAATATGGTTCAAGTATAAGATCAAGATTATATGAATCTGAACATTTGGAAACGTTATTTGTAATGAATTTTCCGGTAAAATTCATTCTTGGAAATTATTTTTGACTAAAACAAAACAAAAACAGGTATGACAGAACTTACAATAAATAAAAGAATCATGACATTCATTCGTCAATGAAAACAAACTTCTAAAGAATCGTTGAAAGCGCTTTTGATACCAACTATTTTTAAAACAAAAAAAATTTACTTTGAAATAAATTATCCACTAGAAAATGCACCTGGATATAAATCTAGAAGTTAAAAAAAATAGAATAAGACAATTTGATGAACGAGCTTTTTTGTAGGGTGAAAAAATATTTCTATTTATCAATCAAGATAGCGAACTACATGCGAACAAAATAGCTTCTCTCACATCCCGTGTAGGAAAAGCGATAAATTTGTTATTCGACATGTCTTATTAAATAAAGAACGATTGAACCTAAATCTTAATAAAATTTGTAAAACTGAAAACTTTTACTTCTCAACCTGTGTGGGAAAAGCGATATAATTTTATCATGTTTGTTTGTTTCATTGAATTAAGAACAAATTAGCTACAAAATCAAAAACGCATATATGCAAAACTTGACGCAAAAGAGCTGTAAATATAAAACTATGTAAAGTAACCATCCGATCCTTCTAGATTTTGCTCTAGATGATTTGCAACATAATAAACTTTGTTGTTAAACCTTTCAAAATTGCGTCCTATATAATTCTATACTAACATAAAAGCGAGTCTCTAAAATTTCTAATGTTTTACTGAGCAGGCATTTAAAAAAGTCGATGTTTGACCGCAGAGTGAGATGTTGGACCTGTCAATAAGATGTTGGACCGCTTACGTCACAGGTGGGCAGCGTTAGCTTTGTCTTATTTTCATTCTTTGGGGTTCGACAGAACTGCAGTACGAAATTATATATCAAAATTAAAAGTAAAAGGTATAACAAAACATTTATGACTGTGTTCTCGGGCAAAAATGCGTTTTGTCGACCCCTCGAATCAAACTGTTTGCCTGATTTTTGGGTCCGACAAAACGCAAGTTGCCCTCGAACCCAGTCAATAAATGTATAATTCGTACCATTATTGCTGCCACGGGCCTTTGTGGTGATTTCTTTTTCTTGTACTTTGTAGTTTAAAACTAAAAAAAATCCTATCCTGTGTTTTGCGATTTCAGGTTAAAAAAAAAATGTCCATTGTGTTTTTTCCAGGGATTGAAACAAAGTCATCAAATCATTTTTTTCTCGGGGTTCTTGAAGAAAATTTTTTAAGTCTATCAACAGTTTAATTTTTTTTTTAAATTTTTAAGTTAATTTTTTTTTTTTAATTTTTAAGTTAATTTTCAATCCTGTATCAGGGCTGTAAAACACATGGCCGATACTGGGTTTATCAAGCTCTGTCCTCTTACAAATTCACTCAAAATATATCAAAATTTAAGTCAGACAACACCCCCTTCACCCTTTTGGATGGTACCCTCACTTTCAAAATTGCTACTACGGCCCTGTCTGATGCTTTTTCTATTACGAATTTTAAAGCACGCTTCCGTAATTTCAAGGAACATGATAACTTTAATACCTACGTTCCATGAATACTACAAGTTTACAAATGCTTCAAATTCAATTCTAGAACGTTGAAGCCCGTTTTCTCACAAAGATTGATACTTAGAGGCTGGTTTCAAATGTACAATAAGATCACGGATCACTTGTTTCATGAGAATTCCTACACTTTGGCAAGTTTTAAAACGAGATAAAAGCTGAATCTTGCACGTGTACGAATACTTGCCAAAAATCAATTTTTGGTGTGGTGCACTTTCTCTATAAAATTTTTGACACATCCTGGGCCCCTGCGATGGCGGAAGGCTCGCATCACCTCAACTTGGGAGGGAATTTTATTTCTGTACACGTACAAGAGTGACGCTTTATCAGATAGAATTATAACGGATGCGTAGTGAAGGCTTGCAATTATCTATTGACGAAGACAAATACATAATCGCATTAACAAAAGACGCCAGACTTTTGCTATTATCAAATTTACAGAATGTACTTTATAGTGTTTTGAGTAGTCACGAAATGTAAACTTCAATTAATCTGGCGTGAAATCTTTATTTTACGCTTTCTTTCAACGTAGAATTTTCTGATATCATGTTTTGGACATCAAGAATCTTTGAATGATAAAAGTACCATTACTTTTCGAAAATAAAACTCTGGTCTTTGCTTCAAACAATCTATTAGTGCAATTTTTTAAGCTCTAAAGCAAAATCAATTTACAAACTTGCTTCTTGGGCCAAAAAATTTGAATGGATTCTGGTTAAATAAAAGCAGGAATTTGACGTATTCCATTGGTCCTGCTGGAACACAGCGCTCCAATCAATCAACGACTTAAATCAAGAGATGGAAGGGAAGATTAAGGCCGGTCTGGTAACAGAATGACTGATATAAATAAAAAGAACAAACAGCATGGTCATCGATATGTTTTTCTACATGTCCAGATAAGTGGCCAGGAAGAAGATAAGAAAGCAGTCAGGTGAATCAGATATAGGTTTGTGTTACGATGTTCAGAGTGGCCTTTTTTTTTTAACTTCCCCTCAGAGAAGAGTTCGTGCAAAGAAAGATGCATGGAATGCAACTCCCGATGCACTGGACATCGCATTATGTCATGCCATTAGAGAGGTTTTCCCGATTGTAAATGCGATAGGTTAATTCGTTCCAGATTAGTTTACTCCCGCACTAATTATCTTGAGTCTGGCATCGTGAATTATCTGTTGTTATGACCTTATACACGTGCATCGGTATACAGAATTTACAAACTAGGATTCTCTAGAGAGGTTCCGAAGACTGGGTGGCACTCTTTGTTGTCGCATTTTATCTATAAAGTACTTATAAGAAAATCCCTCAATAAATTGCTTGAAGATCAAAATGCTTATTAATATTTAATAATTTTTTAACTCTAAAGTTGATACGTAGGCTACATGCATGTATATTTTTCCTCATTTTGGATAACAGAAATATATGATTTCTATATTATTGCTTTGATCATAAAACTTAAGATTAAAATTTATTTACGTCAAAGCAAAATTTATTAAAGACACAAAATTAATTTTTAATTTAATTTCTATACGAATTCTTTCTATATCATTGCTCTGAAAATCCTTAAAATCAAAGACACAGACAGCGAAGCAAGATTGCTGATACCGATTTCTTGATCTCCCAATTTCTTTGCCAAATAACACACAACAAATTTTACGTATCGAAAAAAATCTTTTGACAATAAAAAAAACTCACAAAATTAATGACATATAAGTAAAAATACTTACTTTGTCCTCAGAAAACTGCTCTAAAAATCATGAATCTGTAAATCCGACTATCATTCCTCTCTTTAGTTCCAGACAAAGATTAATGGTCCAGCAGCAGGGGTGATCCAAGGTTCCTCGACTGACGAGGTTCAGTTACGCCCCCTGGTGGGTGCATACGGACTGTATTTTATTCACAGGATGCTCTCGGTAATTCTCGCGCTCAACGGGACGCATTCTCATAGAAAGACAACTTATTATATATGAAAATAAACTCAGCTGAAGGCTTTTGAGTCATTAATTCGAAGATGGGAGGGATGGTCAGAAAAACACGACAGACGGCTCATGTACTTATTTACCCCTCTTTTCAAGTGTCAGCGAAAGATCTACTTTTAGCTTCTTCTTTCGTACATGTATAATGAACGAACGTTTACCTCGAACAAGTAAATACGATAAAATTAGCTCGTTTTTTAACACTTTGAGTATATTTGCATTTTTGCTCTTACGTGAATGGCATTTTTTATATTGTTGATTTTTGATATGTTTTTATTTCCGATTTCAATTCAAAACAAATCTTTGAATTACAGGAGTCCTCAATTAGGAACAGTTCAAGGATATTTGAACAGTAAATAAACATGTTTTAGTCTCCATGCATCTAAAAAGATATTTTGTTTTTCAAAGAAGAATGTAGAAAAGTTTCTTAGTTTCGGTCAGAAATTTACAATTTACGACTTCCTATTAACTGGTCTTTAAACAGCCGGACTGTCCTTTCCGGCATCTAAAGTATCCATTTCACATCCTTCTGGTAACGGCATCGAGGAATAATTGGGTAATCAAATTGTCAATATATCGGGGCTATCTTAAGACCCCCGGAGGTGCTCACTTAGGGTTTATCTGACTCCCGGGGCGTTATCACTGTTTATCGCCCTATCGCCACCGGCCTGCCGTTTGTCAATAACAGATTTCACACAACAAAGAGCGCATAAGTAATTAATATCTTTTCACTCTTTTACGGGCTCTTGAATTTTATAGAATTCTTAATCTCTCTTGTTTTATGTGTTCACTTTCATTTCTCGGTCGAAATAACCTTTGCTTTTAAAATCGAACTCTTCAGTGTTTAATGTAAAGAACTTCCTTAAAACCAACCGCTCGGCTGTTTTCGTAGCTTCAAAACTCATCGGAGATTTACGAAGACAACCGATCGCGGGAAATTTGTAACCTACATTGAAGTTTCAGTTTTTGATAGGTTACATTGTTTTGACTGATTTTGAAGGGGGAAATCTAATGCTCATTCCTGTACAAATATGCTTGACACTGTCAATTCTCAGCACAGGCGAAAGCCGATCGCCTTTGTTTTCTTGTTGATAGCTCATAAAGAGAGGAAAAGTCAATGTACTGTATGATCTTTGCTGTTTTTATATTATTAAATCATTAATTAGTGTAGGGAGGGCATTGAGTCCAAAGATATTTGTATTGATAGAATTAAGTAGTTGAAATGGATAAGGAAAAAAACCAATATGCAAGAGTAGTATCATTTATATCAAACTTGACAAAAAAAAACACCTTTTCCCTATCCAACCAGATTGTTGTCAAGGTTTAAAAATATAAAATATGTTTGAGTTGATTTCTATCTAATAAAATACCATGGACGAATATATTGGTCTACTTTCCCGTATATTTACACACATTTACATGTACAATATAACACAACATCGCAAATGATAAACAGTTAAAGATAGATTCTAAATTTGAAGGCTTATTTAAATCAAAGAGGCAACTTTTGCCAAGACCTCAGTTTGAAAGATCCTGTATTGAACTCAGAGCTACTTTGCATTGAACGAACAGAAATCCTTCGATTTCCTGTGTGTGGTCGAACAGCATGAAATTAATCTTCTAAGAAATTGAGAGTATTCATCTCGCATAATTTATGCTTAGAGAAATTGACATCTCTCGCTGCAAGAGCAAGCAATTTAACCCGGAAAAGAATGTACTTTTTCTCTGTACATTCTTTATTATTAGTTTATTTCATTTTTCAGAATTAAGGTCTCCTATGATGATTTTCGTTAATTTTACAAGTTACTCAGGAAAAAAAACGGCGGTTAGCTTTCCATCAATCACGTAGATGGTTAAGTGATAAACTTTGATAAGGTAAAGAGTCTGTTTACAAACTAATGAAGATCGAGCTACTAGATCATAAAATGATATGTAAACACACACGTGCATTTGGACGTGCACCTGAAAAAGAGAGCATGCAATTGATAAGTTAAGAGTTGGCCAGGCATCATTTAGAGTGATATACGAGCAAGACGAAGTGGTCATACTGCTCATGGATTGTTAAATTGCTAGCTGTCAAGCCGCGAAAAAGCAAAACTTCTGACAATTTAAGATACAGAAAAACGTTCTTGATATGCAAAATAGGATTCTTCGTATTTTAAATAAAATAGACAATAAAAAATTCTATAAGCATAATTATATCTGTTTTCCAAATGTCTAATCTTAAATATTTTTTCTCTCACTTTTTCCCCTTTCTTTTTCCTTTTATATTACTCTACTCAGTATTTTAGAGGTTTGAACTGTGTTTGCCTCAGCAAACGTTGTCTCAATGTACAAAATCATATTGGAATTGGTAAAAAAACATTGTTCGGAAAATGCATAAGCAATGTCCAAAGGGCTTGGGAACTTACGAATCATTCTTCAAATCGAAGTTTACAACTTCGTACATCAAGATTCACTGTAAAGCGATGATTCAAGATGCTCAAGCAGCTCTATAATAGTGTAGCCTTTGGGGTCCCTTGACTGACTCCGGCGCCAATGGAGCAAAACATAAACAACCGGGAAATCAAGTACACCTTTGGATGCCCATTTCTCTGTATGGATGATATATACTGTATTGTATAATTGCACTGATACGCGTAAAAACAATATACCTCAATAGTCTTCATTTTTGTAATATTAGATGGTTTACATGTTTATGTGCTTAGTTCCCTAGGATTCAATGTTGATTGAATGGACTGATCCCCGTTTTTCCGTGCTTTAGCCATGAGGGCTGATTCCCACAGCATTATCTGTAAACCTGTAGATTTAGCTTTTTTGTTGGTATAGTCGAAAGGTTAATCGCGGAAAAACAACTGTAGAAAGGCCCGAGAAGTTGCGATTGCGGGAATATTCCAATCTTCCATGCAGATTTGCCATAAGTTACTTTCTCACACACATCCAGTTCCTTCGACCAAGATGGTTCCGGCCTCGGAGAACTTGAATTTTGCCAACTTCCTCGATCAATGATATACTTACTTGTATAATAAGAATACTGGACACCGAGGCAGCACATCTAGTATGGAAGCCTTTTTAGGACCTAATCAAAAATATTTTTGAATGGTAAAAATTAAGTTAAAATCTGGTGGTTAATTTGTTGACCCCTAGTCTCCTTAAAGTTGCAGAGTTACTGAATATCTCTATCTACGCCACTGATTTCTGTTCAGAAATCGTCAAACTTTTAATCTTTTTTGTCATGAAAAGCTATTTAAATTTAAAATAATAAAAATATTTAATATAATCCCGAATTTCAACAGTTGGTTATTAAATCAAACTTTTTTCAATATATTTTCCTCTGAGGGGAATACAATTAATAAAAAAAAGATTAATTTTAGCAACATCATTTGAATTACTCATTCAATTTTTGAACCTTTTGTAATCTTTGTGCTATTGAGTGAGCGAAGTTATAGAAAGAAAGCTAAAGGCAAAACATGAAAGGATTAACAACATGCTATATCTTAAAATTTCTCCACTTTCCCTTTTATCTACACATACTTATCTTTGACAAAAGGGGTGCCTTTATTCAACACGTGCAATTTGCTTGTAAAAGCAATGATTGTCAGAAATCAAAGTACAATTTCATCTTGTGTTCTTTTCATGTCGAAAGCTAGTGAAAAGATGAGTAACTCGTCTAGGTTCCATATTGGATACTAGTAAATTATTTCACATTGTTAAGCAATCATGCAAATACTACTCCTACACAAAAAAAATATACCAGGTCTAAAGAAAGAAGTTTTTTTTTTTAAATCCAGTTTCGAAGTATATAGGTAGTCCATTCATTTCGGGCGCATCTTAGAACGCCAAGGCTTTTCGGTGCTTCGCTCCCTACAAACAGCGAAGAGGACTGAACGCCCTTGAATTGCAAAGATGTTTCGGACCGCAATCTGATTAAATTCAGATCCTTGATCCGCTCCTATACACGAGGTAACGACAATTAAATATAGAGGAGCGGATCAAGGATCTGATTTTTATCAGATCGAATCGGACGGCTGATTGTAAAAAAAAATATACTAAATTTAAATATCCCGTTACGTAATATGAAAACTTCGAAAAGAATTTTGCTAAATGCGAACGACTCATTTTTGGTCTATCATTATATTTTAATAATCAACGTAATGATCAGCAAAAACATAGGTAACATTAATGATGAAAACAACTTTAGACACTAAGACGGTATAAAATTACACATACATGTATAACCAATCAACAAATTAAAAAATACACGTACAAATTATTCAATCAAAATACTATTAAAGAGATTTCAGACGCAGATTACTGTTTTGTGGAATATTAAAATGTTTCACCTTTGATCTTATTTTGACAATTAAGAAATAATTACCGGTAATGTGATTGTTTATGTCAGTTATGTTCCATAACGTCATGTGATAAAGGAAAACAATCAAGAAGTTATTTCAAAATATTTTCATAAGAGAAATAATAAAAATCGTTTGATTGTTCTCTCAGAAGCCTCAAGATTTTTGAAAATCGAAATTTACACACAAAAAAATCTCTTGAAATATCATCTAACTTGGCATCATAGTCGGAATGAAAGGACGGTTTAACTGTCTGTGGAATTCTTTATACACATGCCCTAATACAGTCCATTTGCCCAGTGGCTAACAAACTTTTGTGTTCAGTGAGTATATACACAAGGCACAATTAGTTATAAAAATGAAATAATACATGTGTTCAATTTCAAAATCGTTTTTTTCCCACGGAAATTCCGAAAAGAATGCAGCCGTAGGAATGAATTAAATCCAATATTATCTACAATTAAGGGAACGAAAAACATCCAACAAGATACGAACAATTGTATTTCAGCAATTCAAAAGAACACTTAAACAACAAAGGGGTAAATGCAAGCACGTTAAAAAACAAGAGGCCCATGGGCCTTATAGGTCACCTGAGCATCATGCAACAACTTTCAAATGATTGAATTTGGTTCATGTTTTAAGCTAGATGCTATGGCATTCACAATTTTGAAAGAGGCACCATTGCTTATCATAACTATACACCTAGCAATTGTTTAGTTTGTTTACTTAATACCCATAATTTTGGTGGAGGCACTCTTGCTCATCACAACTATGTACTTACTAGTTAGTTTATTTAATACCCAGGAGCAGAGAAGAAGATTTTCAAAGAATTAATGCGTTTTCACTATATAATCAATAGAGCCCCGCCCTAACACCAAAACCCCTGACCCTGGGACCATGAATTTCATAATTTTGGTAGAGGCACTCTTGCTCATCATAATTATGTACTTAATTGGTTTATTTGATACCCAGGAGCAGAGAAGATGATTTTCAAAGAAATAATGCATTTTTACTATATACTTATTTAGCCCCGCCCTAGCACTAGATCCCCTGATCCCATGGCCATGAATTTCACAATTTTGGTAGAGGACTCAATGCTGATTACAATTATACCAACAGTTAAACTGCCTGATGTCCAGGAGTAAAGAAGATTTTTAAAGATTACACTAATTTTAGTGGTTTTGGCCCAACCCCCAAGGCCCCAGGGGGGCAGGGACCGTGAAATTCACAATTTTTGTTCCCCTTTACCCACAGATGCTATATGCCAAAATTGGTTAAAACTGGTTCAGCGGTTTCAGAGAAGAAGCTGAAAATGTTTAAATGTTAACGCACGACGCACGACGGACGACGGACGACGACGGACGAAACCGGATAGCAATAGGTCTAAAATCTAAATATATAGATAATTCAACGTATCCAAATATGATTTAAAAGAGAAGCATTTCAGACTGACATCACTCTGCATACATTTCACAACTATTTTGTCTCAAAAGACAAATCCAAATTAAGGCACTTTTAGAACGCTTTTCATTCACAACCATTATTGTTCCCCTCGAAATGCAATTAATTTTCAAATCAATCCAATGTGGATGTTGATTGTCCAGTTCGAAAATTTTCAGAGAAGTCTTAAGATGTTTCTTCCTTCAAGATGGCTTTTTCAGGTTCGAAGGTTTGTTAGAGTCTGTAGTTGAAGTTTCATTTACTACTTTCACAGAATCAACTTTGTTTTCTATTTCGTCCTCTGTTTTTACTTCCACATTTTCATTAAAAGTTACACTTTTGCCAGATTTTGAAATCACCGAAGTTTGATTCGAAAGTTCAGACGAAGGCACTGATTTAGGCGATGAAATTCTCGAAAGCAAAGAAGCATTACCGGAAGTAGGTGAGGGAGTACCCGGATTACTTTGTATGACTAGATCCACAGAATCATTTCCGGACCCTGGAGTCGGAGTTTCCGATTTACTCCTCTTAAAACTATCAGATCTGCTCTGTTTATATATATTTTGTTTTTGGTTCTTTTGGGTTAAACTTGGTATTCCATTTGAGACTTTGTTTTGTTTTAAGAAACCACCCACTGAAGAATTGTTTTTCTTTTCTTTTTCGCTCGCTTCTTCAACAGTTATCACAGTTTGTTTATTGGAACCAGCCTCCATTTGAAGATTCTTTGATACTTTGGACCGTGTCGACCAACGTTTCAAGAACCCCAACGCTGGGGCAACCTTCGCCATCTCCTTCCTCTTCATTTGAATCACAATTAATCGGGCTCGTAAAATCTTTTTAGTGTTGTCATCCAACGACTCCAGATTTTCATTTTTCTCGAGTGTTTTCTTGCAACAGCAGTCGACGAGTTTAGCGACGGTAAATGCGAGGATAAGGGCACCAAAAGAGACGATGATAGGGGTCAAGATTTTAGGGTAATCAGGATTTGAAGTGCTATTATCATCTGAAATAGAAACGTCCACAGGTTACATTACTGAAAGAAAAGATATATCTCTCTCTCTCTCTTTCTCTCTGCGTAAAATTTTATTCATTGTCCGTAATTTGACTAAGACATGGCATCCTAATAAATGAACTTTTAGGCTAACTGGAACAATGAGAATTAAATGTCTGTAAGCATGACACCACGACTAATTAAATGACAGTGATCAAGGACAACCAAACTAATTGGCACAGTATAAACGACATTTGAACTAAGGTGTAAAAATTAATGAAATATCAGCTTGATGACAAATTGATTTTACCTTTGATAAATCGACAATACGAAATTGTATAATAAATCCCCTAATCCCAGGTTATATTTTAACGAATCGACCCTTTTCATGTGGTGTTTAATATTTCGCGCAAATTTGTCCAATTATTATAAAATGTGAAAGAATTTCGCCTTGAACAATAGGTAAATAAACTAAACCACTTTGTCCCAGATATGAAATACAGAAAATATGCAAAATAGAAATCAATGACCACAATCAGTGTTATAGAGCCTATGGTCATATGGGGCTATATAACAAAAGACTGATATTGACTGGCAATATTTTTGGTCTGTCTATAATTTGGTCTTTTTATGTCGATTTCCTGTTATCCAAAGGTATATTTTGAAATTTTACTTGTGTGATACTCTATAAGGTATTGTGAGTCTTTATTTAATTTTAAATAAAAATGTCAAACGAAAATAAGCAGGCAAATTTAAAGAGTGTGGCCCCCACGTTCGGTGTCTTAGTGGATAGGATGTCGACATTTATGGCATATTGTGTCAGATATGAACGCCCTGTCATACGTGATTTAAAAGTAATCACCAAAATTTAACTTTGAGCTTCAAGCGTTAAGGTCATGGTTAAAGGGTCAAATCATAGCATTCTCGAAAAATTATGTAAATGTAAATTATGAAATCCCTATCTCTTTTCAATCAAAAGTTATAAGGGGAAATATAACATTTTTGAAAAGTAGGTCAAACTTGAATGTCAAGGTAACAGGGTCATAAAATCATAGTATATATTTAGAAAGTTCTTGTCATAGATGATACAACACTGCATGTAATATGAAAATCCCTGTCTTTTTCTCTTTGAAAAGTTAAGCTATTACCAATGTAAGTCAATGTTAACATTTTTGCAAAGTAGGTCAAACTTCAAGGACAAGGTAACGGGATAAAAAAAAATCACACTTATATTTGGATGTCTTGTCAAGTACACGTGAAATATCACTTTTCTCATCAAAAGTTATGGTCAAGATTAAAGTTTTTGTGACAAAAAGGACAAGAAATATATACATGTATATGAAGTATGAATGTCCTAGTATTAACAAAAGTGAAATTTAATTTTTGTCCCTCACTTCGCTTTGTGGAAGGTCTTGACACAACAATACACATGTAAATATGACAAAACATATCAATGACATACAAAATCAAAACAAAAGTCAAATGTCAGTTATGAAAAAAATTCTATTATTTTACAGGAAAGAAAAACATGTGATTTTGTCCATTATTTATTAAAGTGTGTAAAATGCAAAAATGAAAGTGAAATTTTTTTTTACTTCAGATGCAGCTAAGGATAAAGACGAGAGTATTCATGTTTAATATTCCTCGCCTATTTTACAGTTATAAGAGAGAGAATGTGGAAGGACATAGTCATACAAATCACCAGTGCTCAAAAACTAATCCATATCAAATCAGATGTTGATAGAGCTGTAAAGATTTAATCGCATGAAACAAAGATTTCTGGACGGATTTCAAAAAGTTATGTAAAGTATTACAAAGAACAGTTCTGATTGTGGATACATTTTAAATCATAACTTTTGTAACAAATCATTAAAGATTTCTTTTGTTAATTGTTAATGCAAAGCTGTAGTCCTATATGTTTAATCTGTAAATGTCGTAAGCGGATTATCATTGCATTTTCCTTGAGATTATGTAGAAGAAAACCCATTTTGCAATGGCAAATTGCATTGGCAAAGTTGACTTACTTACAGTTATCAGAAAATGCATCTGAACGCCTTTGTATCTTAATGTTTTGTCTACAATGGTAAGAGAAAACACCTAAATCCAAAAAATAGGACTGTTTCTGCTTTCTGATCGAAAAGCATTGATTCAGCATCTGACACCCTCTACCTTTTTTTTTCTCTCTTTGTCGTTTATCAGATTTTCAAAATTGATTTATATGTACACCGTCCAAATTTATGTATCCCCCATTCCCAAATATATATGATACCCCTTGACCGTTTTACAAATGAATGCAATAAATTCCCACCCGTAAAGTCAAAATTATGTCCTTGACACTAAATATTTAACTTTTTCAGTGACCTTTATTTGTAAAATGTGACCTTGATTCGAGAGATGGCAAACCCATAAACCATAAGAAACATTTCACACAAGAAAAATTTCATTCAAATTAAAAGTGGCCTTGAAGTATGAATGACCTTGATCTGCGATCTACTGTATGACCTACATTTTGGTTTGGGGTAATAATATAGTCATATATAATGTATATATGTTTGAATCAACTCTTAACTGGTATCTTAGAAATAAATAGGCATGTGAACAATTTTGAAACTCGGAATAAAAAAAAACAGTATGTAAAAACCAGAAAGCCTTCTTCTCATAAGGTAAAAATAATAGTTGTTGTCCAAACCTTGTTGTCTTGTAAAAAATTATTTTGAATAACTTTATTTATAATAATTTTCAAAAAGTTACACTGACTTGTAAAAATTTCAAATGTTCTCAGTTTATGGTCTTGATGTTTGTATATCCTTTCAATTTTAAAAAACCATTATGTAATTTTTCAATCTCATATTTTCTATATTAAAAAATGCAATTTTTCAAAAAAAACCGAATTAAATCCAATTTTAATATTTTATCAAGACATTTTTCATTTTCCTAAATTTTGACTTAAGACTGTTCTCAGTGTTTTGATTGTTAAAATGAAAGTCAAGTTCAAAAACTAACACGTTATAGCGTTGACCATGACAGTATTTCTGGATATCTCTTTTCAAGTGTTAGATTTTAAAAAAGTCTAAAAATCTAATACACAAATGTATTGCTTTGGAAGAAAATATATAGGTTTGTTAGAGGACTTCTATTTTTCGGTTCCCTTATTGTCCATTTTGAACCAAGTGTAAAGAATCCTTTTAAATTCTATCAACATACACAATGAAGAAATTACAAATGTATTAAATTAATCTTTTCTTCTAGCTAGATTTTGGGGTCACTTTTATTTAAAGTACAAGGACACAAGATTTTTTTCCAAGAAGGTTATTCGCTACTTTTGGGAAAAGGGTTTTTCTCTATTGAATAATTGATATATTTTTTCTCAAAAAACTTCCTTTAGAATAATTTCTTCTTTTTTAGCCATGAGAATATGCAAGCTTTCAACTTTGCAAAAACTCCCATTTTGAATTTAGCACTTTCTTTTAGTTAACATTTTAAATTTCTCTGCAATACAGAAACTTTAATGATGACATAAACACGGCATTATATACTTCTATCAGTATATCTCTTCATGTACCGATTGGAATATATAAATCAATAATGGACAAGATATATTTTCTTGAGTTTTGACCTTTGTTTTGCGATGTGAGTAGTCCTGGTATGTTTCAAAATGATGTCGATCTTCAAAGAAATTTACCCCTCTCCATTACTAGGAGTTCTTGTTTTTGCCAGTTTTATTTGGACGCGAGTATTGGGTTCGAGAATTGAATTCCATTATCTCACTGGAAATCATGATTTTAAAAAAATCGGATAAGTCCCTCTTACATGTACACATAGTTTCTTTTAATATACGTTTTCACTAACTGCAAAACTGTAGCTCCCCGGTCTGTCAATATTTTTTTTTTTTCGGAGAGCTACAGTTCTGCAGAACTCTACATTTTCACAGTATGAGATTATTTTCTTTTCATGATAAACAATTTTTTCTTTCAATGTTAAAAGATATTTCATTGGCTATCTCATCTAGGTGTATATGGGTAATTTGGGGTTTAATTTCACTTCCTTTGTGGTAAATATTGCTGATAAGTCAAAAGTCGTAGTCTGTGAGCCTTTTTACCCCGTCTCTCATACCATAACTGGATCGAACAAATAAATTCGTCAATACAAATAATATACGTGTCAGGAGATTACGGCGTAACTAGTCAATTAAATCACTTGACTTACATATAAAATTACGTATGTAATTGTGATTTCGACAACAGGTCGGCTCCTCGGATATTGTTTATTAGTATTTATCCAGCTGAATGGGTTTTAATTGATCACTAATTTGTAAATCGCCCTCAAACATGAACGCCTAAATCAGGTTTCCACGTGAATTGAAATGTCAAGTTAAATACTGTTGCTCCATATATATAAGAAGATTATATTTATATAAAATTGTAAAGATTATGAATTTTTAAAGATTTCATGTCCAAAATAAAACGTAGATGGTGTTGAAGATATTTTGAAGTATCAATTACCTGAAATAAACTTCATTTTGTACTATTTTTTTTTATAAAATGATTTTTACGTGTGACTTTCATGACTCCACCGTGTAAAATGCATAATCAGATTAATTTCGGGGTTTTTTTTTGGGGGGGGGGGGGCTCTGTGGATTATCCGCAAAGGAGTTCAGCTAATACGTAAATCACAAAACGTTGTACGCTTAAATTTTTTTTCTTAAACATTTCAACCTTAAGAGAGTGTTTGTATAATTTAAAATTCATCGCCAACGAGTGTTATGTTTGTGAAAGGTATTTTGATTTTGAAGTGATTAAGGTCAAGTGAAAATTCATGATTTGTTTAGCGTTGTACAATCACTGCAGAATTAAGTTCGTAAATAAAGCATTTCCCTTTTTTTGGTTTCACACTCGAATAAATATCGTCAACAACAAACATTCATGGGAATTAAAATTTAGTGAAAGACTCGATGTAAAAATTCAGGTCAAATGAAAATCAAGATGAATACATTTGTAAGAACAGAGAATAATGAAATCAATTTGAAAAAGGTAAATGTTCGCTTTTATTTAAAGAATAAAAAGGATTTTAAAAAATAAAAGCTGAGGATTGGATTTAAAGTAAAGAGGAAAAAAAGTACCTGCGTGTACTAAAGCTGGAAAAAGCGAAAGACTCAAGAAATATCCATTTTTGGTCAAACCCATATTTTCTGTCCATTAACACACATTTCTTCCTTTTCCTTTTGCTGGAGTATCCATCCATTTATGTCAAAACACATAAAATTCGAGATAAATTTCCATTTTTTGTTGTTTTTATTTCCAATTCTTCGTTTCGAAAATCCAAACACATAAATCACTGTATCCAAAACCAGTACACACCGTATTTATTTATTTCACCTAATAATAATTTAATTCCATGTCACGCAGTAATTAGCGATTATTATATTACACGGATTTAATCCTACGAGGTTTTGGTTTTCAGAGCGCAGGCCACTGTCCGCAGCACCAAGAGTGGTCAACCAGGGAACGCAATACAACACCGAACCAATGGCGAGTTCGAGATCGTGATCAAACAGCCGGCTTTCAATTAGCAATACCTACCTATTCAACAATTCAATAGCGGGCTAGTACCATGTAAACTCCCAAAAACTTCGCAGCACTGGGACATTTAATTCCATGTTTGTAATTATTAAAATGGCCACGCAGAGGTATATAAAATTCAGATATGTTCAGTGGCACGTTTGCCTCTTTTGGGAGATTTTGTAAAACGGATAATAGAATATGGAGCTTTAAATAGGATTAAAAGATTTGCCCGGTAAAAAACTTTATGACATTCGGTTGCACTGTAGAGAAAGTGCCAAGGAACTCAGATATAGTTCTGCAAATGGTGAAAATATAAATACCTAATATCTTAGATTAATACAAGATTTTTTTGTTGAAAGTGTTCGGAAATTATTGTAAATTATCTTTTCCATTTTTGTTTGGATTGTTTGGCCTGTTTGTTTATTTGATTTTTGATTGTCAGTTTTTGTTATTGTTGTTTTTTTTTATTTTGTTTTTGTTTATTCAGTATTACAAATCAGAAGGTTCTACATATATCCGGTAGAACACGAGTACACAGTGCTTTTTAGTTGAGTTGTTTCTACATGAATCGTGTTCTCATCTGATCTAACAAATGCTTTTCGAACAAACTATATTTGTCAATAAAAATGTGTAGTTTTCCCTTTCTGACTTTAAAGGAAAAAAACTATGGGGAAAATACAAATATTCATTTAGAGGGAATGATATATGTTTTTTTTTTTCTTCATACATCCGGAAATAGTGTTGATCTCAAGAAACCGAATCTTCCCACTCAATCATATATTTTAACTATATAAAAAAAATTATGAAATTCACATAGATGTCCTCTCAGAAGAGGAGGCTTCAGACATTGTTTTAGCATTTAAGGATATCCGATCCTCAGCCAGGAAGGATAACTCCAAAAATTGATATTTAATATTTAATTCTGACGCCCCCATAATGCAGCTGATGCCAAGGTTTTAAAATGTATGTTACATTCTAAGGGCGAGGTTTGAGAGGACAAAATAAGCACCACCTCTTATAATTGATGACCATAGTATACAAGTTTTGGTTTGTTTTTTTTTTTCAAAAGAAGTCAGACATCAAGTACATGTCTTGAAGAAAAAATATTAGTCTTGAAACAAGGAAAACACACTTATTCGTTCATGCAACAAAAATATCTCGATGTAGGCCTAATGGTACATATACCCCCCCCCCGCCCTCCCCGCCAATTATATTTGAATAATTCAATATTTTTTTATTCACCTTACACCATATCGATTTAGCATTTTAATGATGACCCCTCCCCCCCACTAATTTCACACACACACACAAAAATGTAAGACCATGTTTAAAAAAGTAAAGTTTGCTTGCATGTGTAACTAGTGTTTTGTAAGCTCCTAAATTTGGATCAAATTTAATACCAGTAATCTTGATTTTTCGTGTGACTTTTAAACGAAAGGAAAGAAGCAATTGCAAGGAATGATTTAAAAGTCTCATTGTGTAGCAGTGAGTGTATGCATGAGATCTTATGAGATCATAGGCGCCAGTCGGTATATTTAAATAATTTTATAGGTATCTGCAGCAAATATAAAATTCAAAACAAAAACAAAGAAACGCGACAAAAGGCAAACACCTACTCCCAAAATTATCCCAAAAATATAAACCAAAAAAATATTCAATATTATAAAGCAAACATTTATAATGAAATAAAACAAGTAAATTCAAAGAATTGTCCCCTGCGTTCGGTGTTATAGTGGTTGGTATTCAATTATTTATAGCATATTGTAACTGCATGTCTTGTAAATATGTCCTGTCTTATCTGTCCATCATACAAAATACATAACTAGTATCAATACTGTATACTTTGTCACAGGTAATAATACATGTACACATAAGTGGAAAAAGAGAAATTAAAAACCCAGTTTCTTCTGTTATATACGATGAAAATTATTTTTTTTGATAATTAAGTCAAGGTCATAAATTCACGATGGTTCCTTCCGAACTGAGGTTGTTTTCACAAGTAATGTACATATAAAATATTACTTTCATTTCTTCTTTCGTACATGACCAATTGGATGTCCAGTCTTCTCTTTTAAAAGTTATCACAGAAGCGTCGGAAGCAAATTGAAAGTGGGGTGGCTAATTGAAAGTGGGGGTGGGGGTAAACCAACAAAATAAACGTCATAAAGATAAAACCCAATTTTCAATGCATAAATATGGAACGCCGTGGCTGCCTTATGTTAGATGATTATATTACATGCTGTGGATTTGTAATTATATGCTGTTGTTCTTTTATTATATGCTGTGGGTTTATAATTATACGCTGTGGATCTATTATTATATGCTGTGGGTCTATAATTATATGCTGTGGTTTTGTAATTATATGCTGTGGATCTATTATTATATGCTGTGGGTCTATAATTATATGCTGTGGTTTTATAATTATATGCTGTGGGTTCATAATTATATGCTGTGGATCTATTATTATATGGTGTGGTTTCATTATTATATGCTGTGGGTTCATAATTATATGCTGTGGGTGTATTGTTTCATATTCTGTCGGTTTATTAGAAACTAGCTATTCGAATCTGGACTTCTGATTTTTTTAGTTTACTTGCTCAAAAAATGGTGGCAACTGCACTAGGCCTAACCGTAATAGGAATGAGAGAGTGAAGTGCTGAATAGGAAGGCATTACCTGATTGGTTTAAATGAGGTACATGTATGTTATTTTTTTTTTTTAAAGTAAAAATATTAATGTTTGAAATAAATGAGTGAATGTATGAATATTACAGAAATATAGAAATACCAGGGGAGACTATAAGAGCGGAGGTTGATTTTTTTTTTGGCAGAGTGTTATTTACTGGCGGTTACTAAAGTTAATTTTCAATTTTTTAAACAACTGCAGTTTTGACCTATAACCGCCATGGGACCCTTTATATTTTTTTTTGGGGGGGGGGGGTACAATGGGGTATAAGCGCCTTGAATAAAGTTTCAAACGATTCCGAAATTAAATTAGTATAGTAGTGAGAGGACAAAAGGTTTGTATAGAGTTCTGTGGGAAAATAATTGGTACTCTTTTCCTTATAGAGATCTTAATTTTTAAAATGTTAAGGGAATTTAAGGTCAAGAAAAATGATATTTTGCTCTTTATTTGACGACACACCGAGAGGAAATATACATGTATATATAAAATAAGAAAAAAGATTTGTTTTTGGTGTGTTGAGATTTGAGAGGAGTTATGTCCTTTGTTAAAAGAGGGGGTAGTGAGAAGAATGTAGATATTAGCATAGGCGTCGGAACCGGGGGGGGGGGGGGGGGAGGGGGGTTTGGCCCCAACTTTTTTTCCAAACATATACTTAGTCTAGACATTGAACATTGTTTCTTGGGTTTAGCCCCCCTCCAACTTTCCACAGATACGTCGCAGTATAGGTTAAAAATGGGGAAATTGGTGGTGTTTGGAATAAAATTTTTGGTACTGGTAAGTTCGAACCTACCCCCCCCCCCCCCCCCCTACGAAATAGAATTTTCGTTATTAGGGCATTTTCCTTCTTTTTTTTTTTTTTTTTTTTTTTTTGCTTGTCAGGTTTTTTGATGGAATATATATTTTTTTATCACTTAGCCCCCCCCCCCCCACTTTCAATTTGCTTCCGACGCCAATGATTAGTATAGCGTGATGCATTTGATAATGTCAGAGGAAGTAAGTAAGTTAACAATGTGCATCAGATTGCTCTTAATATGATAAGTATTTGCAGTTTATGGCATCGTTTGAAACTTTAATCCAAGCGCTTATAAAAAAAATCCTACCAAAATATAGGGTCCATGGCGTTTATAAGTCAAAATTGCAGTTGATAAAAATTAACTTATAGGTATCGGCAGTAAATAACACTCTGCCCCCCCCCCAAAAAAAAATCAATCCCCACTCCTACAATCTCCCCTGGTATTTCTATATTTCTGTTATATTCCTACATTCCATAAAAAAAATCAACCCCCGCTCTTACAATCCCCCTGGTATTTCTATATTTCTGTAATATTCATACATTCCCTCATTTATTTCAAACATTAATATTTCTACTTTTAAAAAATAAAAAAAAAACATTACATACATGTTCCTTATTTAAACCAATCAGGCAATGTCTTCCTATTTAGCATTCCACTCTCTCATTCCTATTACGGTTAGCCGCCATTTTTTGAGCAAGTAAACTAAAAAAACTAGAAGTCCAGATTTGAATAGCTAGTTTCTAATAAACCGACAGAATATGTAACAATACAACCACAGAATATAATTATGAACCCACAGCATGTAATAACGAAACCTCAGCATATAATAATAGATCCACAGCATATAATTATAGACCCACAGCATATAATTATAAAACCACAGCATACAATTATAAACCCACAGCATATAATTATAAAACCACAGCATATAATTATAAACCCACAGCATATAATTATAAAACCACAGCATATAATATTGGACCCACATCATATAATAATAGATCCACAGCATATAATAATAGACCCACAGCATATAATTATGGAACCACAGCATATAATATAAGAACCACAGCATATAATTATAGACCCACAGCATATAATAAAAGAACCACAGCATATAATTACAAACCCACAGCATATAATAATAGACCCACAGCATATAATTATAGAACCACAGCATATAATATAAGAACCACAGCATATAATAACAAACCCACAGCATATAACTATAGACCCACAGCATATAATTATAAACCCACAGCATATAATTATAGACCCACAGCATATGATTATAAACCCACAGCATATAATTATAAACCCACAGCATATAATTATAAACCCACAGCATATAATATAATCATCTAACATAAGGCAGCCATGGCGTTCCATACATAAACCATGTCTATCTTTGCAAAAAAAAGGGGGGGGGGGCATGACATGATCCTGACAAGGAGCACAAAGCAGGTGTGATCGGAACATTATTTTGTTTAAATACCTTCCGAGGTCCTTGATTGGTCAATAAAACATCAGGGAGATCTATCTTTTTTCTTGTATAAAGACGAAAATCATGCAGCTATTTCAGAGATTACAAGTAAACAGGACAATAGAAAAATTGTTGTTTATAAAATGTATTTAATTTTAAACATAATACATTTAAGCAACATCTACATCGAAGATTGGATTGAGGCAATCAAATTGTCAATTTCATCCGAAACTAATCTATTGAACTCCTCTTCGTTCAGTCCCGTGTCAACATCAGTTCCCAAATCTTCTGGGTTTATGATGAGACTTTTCTCATTTCTTTTAAAATCTGAAATAGAAATACATGTACATGTATTAAGATTGAACTGCTTTTTAAATTTAGTATTTTTCATTTATCGACCATTTAAATAATATTTAACTGGATAAATCATTCCTTTTTTGAAAAGTTAATACAGTTGTCTACTATACATGGTTAATATACAAGAACTAACTTTTCTTTCCCCACCATTTCCGTAATTCGAACACTCCCATAATCATCAACGAAAATCCAGGAAACATCTGAAAGCGTTAAAAAATATAATATTAATTTGAAATCCTGGAAACCCAGTGGCATCTAAAATTCGTGTTAATTTTGTTTTTACTGAAAGCAAAATTTATATTACAATTATTCTAGCTATAAAGAAGATGGTATTCTACTTACTTTATACTGATATGCTGTCTGTCTTGAAAAAGTAGATTCCAGTCGATGCCAATATTTCTAATTTAAATCTATCAGAAACTTTTGTTAGAAAACTCGCTGATATTCCTGGAGAAATACTTTTCTTGGTTTGGAAGTAACCACAAACTACTGCCAGTAAATTGTGACGTTTTAATTATTATGACGTCACAATGATAATATGTGAAAACGAGACTGACATGCAATCTCACCAGAGGGCGTATTACGCTTCGCTCAACACTTCTTTATAACTGGAACGATAACTCTGAGTAGAGATTGACAAATCGCTACTTCTCGGGTTTTTCGACCTTTAGAGATTATGCAATTTTAGGGGCATAGCTCGGCTATTGGGGCAACATACACAACTCTCGTAGATTTTTTTTAAATGTGAAAGTTAATAAAATATTTGCAACGCTTTAAAAAATTTCCTACTTATTATATATAATATATTGAAATGAAAAAGATACACATGGGAAACATCTGAGGTGGTGATATATAGTGTTATCTTTTCACTCGTATTTTCAAGTTATGTTATACCGGTATACCTAACACATAGGCGTCGGAAGCAATTGCAAGTGGGGTGCCGTGGCTAATTGAAAGGAAGGGGGCGTTTAACCAAAAAAAGGTAAAACCCAATTTTCAATGCATATATTATGTCTATCTTTGCAAAAAAAAAGGGGGGGGCATGACATGATCATGACAAGAAGCACAAGGTGGGTGTGACCCGTCGGCAGGGGATGTTCACCCCTCCATGGCACCTGATCCCAACTCTGATGTTTTTGAGGTCCGTGTTTGTTCTGCTCCTATATTGTTTTGTTATATGGACTTTTGATCTTGAATACTGTTCTTCATCTCCATATGTTTCACATCTATATGTCATACATGTAGATAGCTGTGTTGGTAGACAATGGTAATAGTCTGACACTCACAGCGCATTTTCTCTCAAAGTGTTTGATACATTGTGTAAATTTAATTCTTTGGTTGAAAATCATTACAGAAACAAGTGTCTATGAACAGAGAGTCCGGAAGAAAATAGATATATTGTTAAAACATACATTTTTTTTATTGCTACATGTATTTTTTTTTTGAGTACTTATTCATTTGTTTAAATACCTTCCGGGGTCCTTGATTGGTCAATAAAACATCAGGGAGATCTATCTTTTTTCTTGTATAAAGACGAAAATCATGCAGCTATTTCAGAGATTACAAGTAAACAGGACAATAGAAAAATTGTTGTTTATAAGATGTATTTAATTTTAAACATAATACATTTAAGCAACATCTACATCGAAGATTGGATTGAGGCAATCAAATTGTCAATTTCATCCGAAACTAATCTATCGAACTCCTCTTCGTTCAGTCCCGTGTCAACATTAGTTCCCAAATCTTTCGGGTTTATGATGAGACTTTTCTCATTTCTTTTAAAATCTGAAATAGAAATACATGTACATGTATTAAGATTGAACTGCTTTTTAAATTTAGTATTTTTCATTTACCGACCATTTAAATAATATTTAACTGGATAAATCATTCTTTTTTTGAAAAATTAATACAGTTGTCTACTATACATGGTTAATGTACAAGTACTAACTTTTCTTTCCCCACCATTTCCGTAATTCGAACACTCCCATGATCATCAACGAAAATCCAGGAAACATGTTCTGAAAGTGTTAAAAGAATATTATGAATTTGAAATACTGGAAACCCAGTGGCATCTAAAACTCGTGTTAATTTTGTTTTTTACTGAAAGCAAAATTTATGCTACAATTCTTCTAGCTATAAAAAAGGTGGTATTGCTACTTACTTTATACTGATATGCTGTCTGTCTTGAAAAAGTAGATTCCAGTCGATGCCAATATTTCACAGATAAAATCTATGAGAAACTTTTGGTAGAAAACTCGCCGATATTCTCGGAGAAATACTTTGTAACCACAAACTACTGCTAGTAGATTGTGACGTTTTAATTATTATGACGTCACAATGATAATATTGAAAACGAGACTGACATGCAATCGCCAATCTCTCACCAGAGGGCGTATTACAAGTGGAACGAAAACTCTGGGTAGAAGTTGACAAATAGATGCTTCTCGTGTTTTTCGACCTCTCGAGATTATGCAGTTAGGGGCAAAGCCTGAATCCTGAGGCCTCCAAGCAGAATCGGTAGGCCTCGGGAACCAGGCTTTAGGGGGAACATACACAACTCACGTAGATTATAAAAAAAGAAGTGTAATAAAATATTTGTAACGTTTTGTTATCTTTTCACACGTATTTTCAAGTTATGTAATCTAAACACATACATCTGTATATAGGCGTTGGAAGCAAATTCAAAGTGGGGTGGCTAATTGAAAGTGGGGTTGAGGGGCTAACCCAACAAAGAAAGGTAAAACCGAAATTTCATTGCCATATTATGTCTGTCTTTGCAAAAAAAAAGTGGGTAGTCATTAAATAACCAAAATCTAATTTGATTTTGACTGGCGATTCATGAGTTACAGTATTGAATCTCATATAGAACACTAACTCCCACCCCCACCCCGGAAGTAAAAATCGAAATCACCTTTGCCCCACCCCTTTATGCATCTTTCTCAGCTTTAGTTCTCCTTTTTATTGTAGTTTATTACAATGATATTAATAAAAAGCTAACTATTGACTATGTATCTAAATGATAAATAGAAATATCCTTTTTTATACCATCCGCTTGAAAAATTCGGTTAATTTCTTATCTCCAGTCCTTCCGCAGCTAGTTCTTAAAAGTTTTGACGCTAATTACAGAGGTAAAAGAAAATAAAGAAAAATATATATATATCTTTGAGTCAAATGCTGACTGACGTTTTTTATACTGTTAGTCCATTATTTATACACTGAATTCAATTATTCCCCGATCATAACAAGGAGCACACGACGGGTGTGACGGTCGGCAGGGGATGCTTACTCCTCCATGGCACCTGATCCCAACTCTGATGTTTTTGGAGGTCCGTGTTTGCTCTGCTCCTATTTTGTATTGATTAAAGGACTTTTGATCTTGAATACTGTTCGTTATCTCCATATGTTTTAAATATGTCATACGTGTAGATAGTTGTGTTGGTAGACAATGGTAATAGTCTGACACTCACAGCGCATTTTCTCTCAAAGTGTTTGATACATTGTGTAAGTTTATATCTTTGGTTGAAAATCATTACAGAAACAAGTGTCTATGAGCGGAGAGTTCGGGAGAAAATAGATATACTGTTAAAAATACATTTTTTATTGCTACATGTATTTTTTTAAAGTACTTTTCATTTGCTTAAATGCCTTCCGGGGTCCTTGATTAGTCAATAAAACATCAGGGAGATCTATCTTTTTTCTTGTATAAAAACGAGAACCATGCAGCTATTTCAGAGATTATACACGTAAACACGACAATAGAAAATTTGTCGTTTATAAAATACAGGTATATTTAATTTAAACATAATATACATTCATATACATTAAGCAACATCTACATTGAAGATTGGATTGAGGCAATCAAATTGTCAATTTCATCCGAAACTAATCTATTGAACTCCTCTTCGTTCAGTCCTGTGTCAACATCAGTTCCCAAATCTTCCGGGTTTATGATGAGACTTTTCTCATTTCTTTTAAAATCTGAAATAGAAATACATGTACATGTATTAAGATTGAACTGCTTTTTAAATTTAATCGTCTCATTTACCGGCCATTTATAAAATATTTAACTGCATGGGTAAATCATTACACTGTAAATGATATAAATCCCCCCTTTTTTTGGAAATTAATATAGTTGTCTACTATTCATGGTTAATGTACAAGTACTAACTTTTCTTTCCCCACCATTTCCGTAATTCGAACACTCCCATGATCATCAACGAAAATCCAGGAAACATGTTCTGAAAGTGTTACAAAAAAGAATATTATGAATTTGAAATACTGAAAACCCAGTGGTCTGGCATCTAAAACTCGCGTTAATTTTGTTTTTTACTGAAAGTAAAATTTATATTACAATTATCCTAGCCATACAAAGTTGGTATTGCTACTTACTTTATACTGATATGCTGTCTGTCTTGAAAAAGTAGATTCCAGTCGATGCCAATATTTCTAATTAAAATCTATGAGAAACTTTCGGTAGAAAACTCGCCGATATTCTCGGAGAAATAATTTTCTTGGATTGGAAGTAACCACAAACTACTGCCAGTAAATTGTGACGTTTTAATTATTATGACGTCACAATAATAATATGTGAAAACGAGACTGACATACAATCGCCAATCTCTCACCAGAGGGCGTCTGAAGCAATTCCGTGGCTAATTGAGAGGGGGGGTTTAACCAACAAAAAAGGTAAAACCCAATTTTCAATACATATATTATGTCTATCTTTGCAAAAAAGGGTGGGGAGCCCCGGAGGGGCTAAGCCCCCCCCCCCCCCCCCTCTGGTTCCGATGCCTATGTATCACTATCCTCACAATGTCAAGGGTTTATGATTTCTCGAACACCACACAAACCCCTGACATTGTGAGGATGATGTATCACTAATGTTAGAACTTTAAAAGGATGAAGGTCAAACATCAAGATCTCGGAGATAAAAAGCCATATAACATTTGGATATTAAATGTTAAACATGGTTATGACCAGTTAACATGGTTAAAGTTCAATTCGGTTTTGTGTGGTAGACAGACTGACCGGCGATTAGACTTTCAGGAAAGCAGGGGACAAAAAGGAAACAAAACACACACAAATACCTTATGTCACCCTATAAACATGATAAATAAAGTCGGGTTTTAGTTAATTATTTTATTTTAAGAAAAGAAGAGAAAAAATTCTCTCTCTCTCTCTCTCTCTCTCTCTCTCTCTCACTCCTGTTATAAGATAGCAATTATTTACATTCCATGTTTTTCTCCTGTTGTGAAATAGTATCACAATACTATCATTTTCTTTTTACTATCCCAATATACAGACAAGTTCCTACTCCTATTTTTTTTTTTTTTTAAATACAGATCGGGATCGAAGAGCATTTAATTTCAACTCCACGTAACTATCTCAAACAAAATGGATCCTAAAGACGATGAAATAGTTAGTGCGCCTATTGAGGAAAAGGATCCAGGCCCGATTGAGGTAAACTTCGCAAACTAAATTAAGGAGTAAAATATAGATTTTCCAAGCTTAATTGATTTTTATTGTTTACGAATTTACTGTTATTCACACATTATAATGATTGCTCTTTTATCTGCATGCACAGGCACCTGGCCTGAATTTTTATCAGTCAGACGCTCAATAAGCCAAATATCGAAAAAATTACCCCTTACCTCCTCTGTATAGCTTACCTTAAAATAAAATATGTTCTCTTTGGGCTAAAGAAGTGGACAGTCTTTTGACTACATCCAAAGAGAATATAGTTAGGCCTATCTGTCAATTATGAATAATAACTTTTTTGATTGGCCAATACATTTTAGTTTGGCTTTTTTTATTTGTTCCAACTTCTTGACACAAGTACATGTCATAAAATAATATGTTTTACGGTGTGACCGTTGGGGCAAGTGCAGTTTATTTACTATCATAAACCTACACATGTACTGTCTATCATTCAAGAAAAAGAAAGCAAAAAGAATAAAACAAAACAATAAAAAGAAATCATTTCCCAAGCATCGGGATCGAGATTCCAAACTTCTCGGAAGTTTCCGACAAAATCTGAAATACCCGAACCGTTGAAGTGACGAAAGTATGACATCAGATAAAAAGGTCTGTTGACTTTAGGATTTGCAAACGCTAGTTTTATGGAAAAGAGATTGCATTAAATCGTTCTTTTCAAGTAAGTTGTTGCTATGTTTAGCCACCATGTTGCTATGCACCGCAACATGTTTTCCGAGTTTCACGGAAGCAACCGACATAACTTCGTCAAAATTCATAAGTTTCCGGTGACGTCATTTGTATCATTTCCGAAGGGCAAGGTGAAGGCCGGTGTTGTGGCATTGGGGTATTTTTTTGAATAAGGTAAGGCAAAATCATTTCGTTAAGATTTCGGTAAGAAACAATGTTCCTTTAATTTTTTTTAACTATTTTTGATTTATTCGCGCAAAGGACATTGGGTAGTGCAGGAAATTTTCAAATGTTGCACAGAGAAATTTGGTTGAAATGTACAGATTTCAATGAATTTCCTCTGTTCATACACGTTAATTTTGATATCGCTTATCAAGCGTCTTTTAACGCTCGCTGCGCTCGCTATAAGGTAACAGTAATGAATATGCAGATATAAGGATATTTTGAAAAATCTTGCAATGTCATGGACAAGCATATTGGGTCAAATTTTATACATAAAGCAACATCTTTTTTTATAGAATGATGTTCCAGCTGGTGCTCCAGAAATATCAGCACCTGTCGTCAATATTCCAGCTGCTCCAAAGCCAAAACCTAAGAAAGGTGAGGATCATTTTACTGAAGCTTTATTGTATATTTATATTTGTCCGGTGTAAGAACATTAGAATGATAATGCTCTCGAGATCTAGATTAATGAAAATAATGCATATCATAATGTCAATGTAGCAAAACAAGCATAGGTACTTGAATATGACTACTTCAATGCAATATTATGATCAATCATTTTAAGTACATTTGAAGTTGGAAAAAAGCCTTGAGAAAAAGTCTGTAAAATTCTTCCATTATTTTGGATTAATTTTTTTGGTGAAAAGTATCCATAATCTCAAAGTTGGATACTTGTATGATTAGTTTGATGGTTATTTTCAATGCAACTTTATTTATTTTCTCCAAAATCCATTTTGAGCTTTTCTGTAATGTATAGTATATTGCAGGTTCATGTGACTGAGGCAAGCACACATTTTGTTTAAAGATTGCATTGGACAAAAATTTTACTTCAAAAATGAATTTTATACACACTGTAAATGCTTTCCATAGCCCCAGAGCTGCCTATTTTTGAGAGAAGGAACTGGTTGATACATCTCCATTATGTAAGAAAAGAATTTGATGTCTGTAAGTCTATCATCAAGGAAGGCCTAGCTGAAAGTGGTGGGATGTGTGAATATGCAGTCTACACTCAGGGTACTCATATAAGATGTTCCATTAATTTCAGAAAAAAAAGTTTACTTTGAATTCCTGAATGAAGGATTTGTGCAGCATTTGTGACCAATTGAAATACTGGTGCTAAAAAGTTTTGTTTTTTTTAAATCACAGCATCTTTGCAAGATTGGCAAAATCACATACATGAAGATACTTCTTAAATTAAAGCAAATATAAAAGTACATTTTTCACATGTGTATATGAAAGCTTAAGTATGAAAATTATAAGAAAAGAGCAGAGTTAAGTAGATTATTGTTTTTACATGTATAAAACCTTATGTTTTGCCAATATTATTGTGCTTATTAGGTCTTTCCACCTTTCCGTGGAAAGACCTATTGAAATTGTTCTGTTTATTATTATTATTTTTATTATTTTTCCGCCGAATGGTTTTTTGTTTCACAAGTTATTGAAGAGATTTAAAGTTTATAAGAATGTACTCCTTAAATGATTTTTTCGTTTGACCCTGCGTATATGAACTTCGATCCCTTTCGGAGTTATCGCCCCTTTCGTAAAAATGTTTGTTATTGCTACGCCTCCGAAACCGTAAATCGTAGAGGAATGAAACATTCACCAATGTCTTCGACTTATTAAGAAAAGCTTAAATCCTTCATTGCAAAAGTATTCATGGCCCCTTCATTGAGTTATTGCCCCTGAAACTTTTTGAATTTTACAAATAATTTAAAATTTTCAAAACGAGAAGTCGTAGAGACATGGGACCAACTGCATAAGATTCATTGACCTTTGACCTTAAAATTCGTGTAAAGGTCAAAGGTCAAGGTCATTCCAAAATTGAGAAATTTAGCTCTTTTTGTATCTCTTTTGTCTTTCAACATATACTTAATGTATATGCATCATTACTATGTACCTTTAAAACTAGTTCTTGTCCCCCAACATTAACCCTTTTAAAAGTTATTGCCCCTTGTGCGAAAAACCTATTTTTCGCTACTGCTCCGAAGCTATAGACCGTAGAGTCACCAAATCTTCTCTAATGTCTTAAGAGTCTTTACGCCTAACTTCACTGTATAAGTGCGAAAGGATCTCATGACCCTTACATGTATATGAGTTATTGCCCTTGAAGTTCTTTGTACTTACTATTAAACCTTATAACTTGAAAACTACAAGTCATAGAAGCATGAGCTTAATTGCATTATGACCCTTGACCTTTGACCTTGAATATTTTTTCAAGGTCGAAGGTCAAGGTCATTCCAATTTTTTCTTCAATTTCATTTTTTCTATGCTTTAAGACAATTCTGGTTTCTTTTTCATGGGATATAATTTTAAGGAGTCAGATATAAAACAAATTTGAAATTCAAAGAAGGTGGAAAATTTCACTGTATACAGTATGTTGTTTAATGTATCCTGTTTATTTGTTAACAGCATTGGTTCTGAGACAGGAGGGGAGGATCCAAGAATCCTTAGAGCTGTTCCAGACGTGTACACTACTGAACCCACAAAGTGCTGACAACCTGAAACAAGTGGCTCGGTCACTGTAAGTTTAATTAATTAATTGTGTTAATTAAATCTTTTTGTAGGCAATAGAAGGGTGCCTATTCACAGTTATTGAAAGTTTATTATACAGAAAACCAAAGTCTTGAAATATATTTCTTGCTAATAAGTACCATATGACAATCTTGAAAAAGTATATAGTCAACAAATATGAAATATTTAAAAGGAAAAAAATAGCGCAAATAATTTGCTTTTTATAAAAACTTGGTAAGAAGCTATGCCTACAATTAAGATCCTCATTTCCTACCCTCCTTATGCAACACCAAGTCAAATTTACTGTATACAGAGTTATTTTCACCCTGTGTTAATTTTGCCCTTTTACACTTCCTAGCAATTCTGCTCTAATTTAAATTCGCCCAATCAAATTCTGTTTAAGGAAGAAAACTGTGTTCTTAGAATTCACCCTGTTTTAAATTTGCCCACTTGTGACAAAGCCGAGAGGGGCTAAAATTTCCTTGTATACGACATCTCATTGTGAACCTGTACAATGCTGGAATAGGTTAAAATCCAGTGTTTTTCTGTAAAATAGAGAACAGATCACTTGCCAATTTCCCTTTGTTTTCCAAAACAAAATTTAAAAATTTATTTCTTCAGTAACATTTAGATAGCGAAAGATGGAGGGGCGAAGGGGGATTTAGCAATTATGTAAAAATACAATATTTAAGCTTATTTTTTTTCCAGATTCCTTCTGGCTCGACACAAAGCTGCAGTGGAGCTGTATAACGAGGCATCTAAGCTAAGCGACAGAGATTGGGTATTTCTAAAACTCCATCTATTGTTTGAACACATTTCATGGTTACAATACGTTATATCGCGACTACCAATGAGTACCTCGCAGTTATCTAACTTACTACCACTCTTTTGCGGGGGAGTCGAGAAAAGTCTAAATTTCTGGGGGCAAATGACATTGTTTACAGTAGTGATTATCAATTGATTCGAACAATTTATTGCCGAAATCACGATGTTTGCCAGATTAGTAGATTGTCAAATAAGGAAAGTTTAGAATATTTTATCTGCTTAAAAATATGACGATTTTCAATGAAAATTTAACGAGAAGAGTCTGTTTAATTAAAAATATCGTTAAAAAGGTGACAATTTAGAATTGGCTCACAATATATTAGGCTGGTTCAGCGATTGTTTAGCGAATTCCACCATCTCCTTATAAATGCTACAATGATCGATCTTGCATTGTATTGAATAGCACATTGCCCCCACCCAACAGACGATTCCTACCTCCTTCGCGAAAGAGTTCCGCTAAGTTAAGTAATTGCGATATCAAGTATTGATTTATACTGCAAACCAACGTTTATTCGCGTGAGAGAAAAGCTGCAGTGGAACTGTAATTAGCTCTCGAATATCAATCGCCACGAATCAATAATTTTCCTCAGTATACGAGGGTTGTCCCGTAAAATCGTGGACAAGTTGTCTAGTGTAAAAAATAAACATCACTGCGTTTTTTTCACTATTATTTGTATATATTTTAGTAATATACAATTTCAGATAAATATATGCATAAATAAACAAATTATGAGATTTTATGCCATGTATTGTATCACCTTACGGCGCATGGATTATAACCTCAAATGTCTAAAACATGTTATTGTTTTATCTATTCCTAAAAATGAAGTTTGATGAGTGCGAAAATTTAAAAATTTCATTGATACACATTCTTTTCTCATAAACATGAAATTGATGCGATCTTGTGAAGATTTATCAGGAAATAGCACATAATCAACCATGTGTTACTAATAGAAAATCTCTTATCGGCGACTACAAAATGGTATTACAAGTAGGAGTTTGTCCGTATGTATATAGTACTCATCGATTAAAAAAATTATTGAAAACTTTTTCATTTCTATAACTAAAAATGGTTATTTTTTTCTTTTTTTCTTCTATGGCCATTTCAAGTCTCTAAAACATCGAATTAAAACGGAACTGCTCTCCGGTGCGCCATAACGTCATAAAACGTCGCCATTTTTCGTGTGTTGTGTTTACCACTTTCCCATTTCGAATGCTCGAGAAACTGCCAAAAATTAACCAAATGCCTTAAAATTTTTACAAAGACTACAAAATTGATTGTGGAATTGAATAAGGATAATTTTAATCCAAATCTTAAGTATTTAAACTTTTATTTTGAATTTATACTTGTGTATACTTTAATAAAACCTTGGTTTTTTGTCCGTGCGCCGTAGGGGTGCACATTTAAGCATAATAAAATTTTATTTTTGCCTATATTTTATCAAAAAAATTATCAATTTGTTTTATGATAAATAAACATTAACTGAAATTTTAAGCTTAGTGCGCCTATTACTTTTCGAGAAAAACGCTTTGTCCACGATTTTACGGGACAACCCTCGTAAAAATGTTATTGTTTTGTCTATTCCTAATTGTTTAATGAATAATATATTACAAATTTAATTTAGAATTGATGTTGATGAAACTTATAATTTCAGGAAATTGCACATAATCAAGGAGTGTGTTACATGTATCTTAGAGACTACAAAATGGTAAGATTTATGTTTGATATATATACATGTAGCTCAATTTTACAAAAATTATATTTATACTCCAAGAAATTATGATTTCTTTGACATTTTTTTTGCCACAAAAACATTTTCTGAAGCAAGTCACTGGGAGTTATCTCCCTTTCACCACTTGTTGATTTGTACAAGCATTTATCAATGCATTTATACTATTTTATTTTTCTTGAAGGCAAAAGAATGTCTCAGTCAGGCATTGTCTTTCAAACGACATGAAATTTCCTATGTGATGTTGGGGAAGATTCATCTAATGGAGGGCAATATAGAGGCAGCCATTGAGATTTATAAACAGGCTGTAGAGTAAGTTTTACTTGTGTTTTGATGAAACCATGCAAACATTGATATTTATACTTACCCAGATATATTACAGTTATTTTTGGATTTATTCCCTCACTGAAGGAAGACATGACTTTCTTTTGTTAATGTATTTTCACTGCAGAAAAAAATTAGTTGTAATTTAATTTGACTAAAAATGTTTTGAAGGTCAATTTATTGTGCTGATTTTTTTATCATTGTTTAAAAAGTATGGCAAATAAATATGGAAAATTGCATAATGAACAATTTAAAGAGATTGACAATATACATAGACTTGATTTATAGCCTTAGAAATGTATCAATGTGTAAAATCCATAAAGTTGTCTCCCTTCAAGGCTTATTGTACATAGATTGTTTGTTCATCTATATTTTGTTGTGTTTATACAGATATCAGAAATAGCATGTTAGATGCATCAATAAGTGTCTGATTGTATGTTTTGTAGGTACTCTCCAGAAAATCCAGACATGCTGACAACATTGGGACTTCTATACATGCAGGTACACCTTTAAAAAAAAGAACACTTTTAAGACTTTTTATAACATAATACATGCACAAATGCTAGATATTTGAAAGATTAAATTGTAACATAACACACAAAATGATTAAACTTTAATATAGATAAAGCATTTTAAAGCAAAGCTGCAACTTTGATGTCGGAATTTTTTGTTGCAAATTGTAAATAATTATTTCAAAAAATAATAAATAATAGAAAAACTTATTAATTAACTTCTGTTGTTCATATTTGCGGTGGAAGAACTATTTATCAGAAAAAAATTACATTAAATGAATATTTTATATTAATATTTGATTAAGTCTCTCTTCTGCTTTATTTTAGCTAATTGATCAGCATTTTATCCTAATAACACATTTTTACAACAAAATAAAATGGTCAAAAATGCAGCTCATATTGCTTTAAATCCATTACATATCAGGTTGGTCAGTACCAAAAGGCATTTGAAAATCTTGGTAATGCCATGACCTATGACCCTTCACATGTCAAGGCCATAATGGCTGCTGGGAGCATGATGCAGACCCATGGCGATTTTGATGTGGCTCTGAACAAATACAGGATAGCAGCAGTAGCTACCCCGGAGAGTCCTCCATTATGGAATAACATTGGGATGGCTTTCTTTGGCAAGAAGAAATATGTGGCTGTAAGTTTTTTTAAAGTTGAGAAAGACTCATAAATAGGCATATGCTATTGTAGAATTTTTATCTGTGATATCAGTATTGGTGTATTTTATGTTTGTATACTGCACAGACTTGTGCAACTGTTGTTAGTTTCTTTAGTACTTTGAAAACTAAGGATGGTCTTTATTACTTTGCATTCAAAGATTTTGACAAATTTTGATACATGTATATATATATATATGATACAGTTTTTAATTTTTGTTGTTGTAGTCAAGTTCTTAGCATACCATGGCAAATGATAATAAAATCAGTATTTCAGGGTAAATTAAACTCTGAAACATTGCAAATCAGTTTCCTTTTAAAATATTTTTTAAGAAAAAAGTAGAAAATTCTCAGAAATGCAATAAAACACTCAGAGCAATGCAGCTGCTACGATCTTGAATGCAGCCATGATACATGGCTAAATTTTTATCTGACATGTACATGAATATCTTATATTACAGGCAATAAGCTGCCTGAAGCGAGCTAACTATCTGGCCCCATTTGACTGGAAGATTCTGTATAACCTGGGATTAGTCCATCTCACCATGCAGCAGTACGCCTCCGCTTTCCACTTCCTCAGTGCTGCCATTAACTTACGTCCCAAAATGGCTCAGTTATTTATGCTTCTAGGAGGTAAACATTTGCATAAACTTTTAAATCTAGAAAAAAATTATTTCTGATAAATTTTGCACTCAGAGCAATGTTTTCCATTGAGGTGATTTTAGAATGAGTTATTCCCCATGGCTAAATTTTATCATGTATATGATTGTCTCTTATATTCAACCAAGTTCAAATTTATTACACTGGTTACTGAGTCAACAAAACACTATTTTATTTTTGAAGTCACATTTGTTAAAGCCTCTTTTAATTCATAATTTTAAAATTGTCAATTTCCCCCCATATATTTCTTGCATGCATGTTTAAAATTGGTTGCTCGTGCAAAGAGAAAAATTCACCACTTTGCCCTAGAAGATGGTGCATAAACTTTTAAATCTAGAAAAAAATTATTTCATAGGAAACCACTCTATATTTACTTATTTGTTTGATCTGACATGGCAACATGGTGGGTAACATATGAAGCACACTATTTTTGTTCTTTGGAAGCTCAAAATTTATTGCACTTTGAAATTATCTTCCTTAATATCTATTTGTTTAAAAATTGTGATTTATTTGTTGAATGCATAAAACAGGCTTTATTATCTAAAAGAGGATAAGTATTATATTGTAGAATTAATCTACAAAGAATAATGGTAGAGTAATTATCCATTTTTTAATTGACAAAGAATTGGTAGGATTATAATTTTTTTTAACTTTTGACAGTTGCCTTGACTCACTTGGAGGACCCTGACAATGCTAGGAAGGCATATGAACAGGCTGTTTCTCTGGAACAGTAAGTCACAGCCTTCAGGGTGTGAATTTTTTAAAACTAATTAAAAATAATTTAATATCAATATGGAGAATTGAGCTAATTAAAAGTAGTAGATTCTTTTCTCTAATATTTAATTTGTAAATTGCAAAAAAAAAAAAAACTTTGAAAAAAAAAATATCCAACAAATTTCTTGCATTTCAGAAAAGATCCTGCAATGAGTCTCAACTTTGCAATATTTTTGAACAACATTGGTGACAAAAGTGCAGCTCTGAAAAATTACAAGGAATTTGAGAGTAGATACAGAATAATGAAGACAACCAACCCTAATGCAGGTGATCAGGAGGTGAGAAAAAAAAAACATTGATGGAAGATTAAAAAATCAAGTAATGAGTATTGAAAGCTGCATTAATTTGTTTTTGTGAATCAGTTTAGTTTGATTTTATGTAAATTTCTCTTCAAAGATGCAGGATGCTGCTCAGAAACTAGGAACTGTGTTACAAGTTGGAGAAAGCCTGGTGTGGAACGAAGGAGGGGCACAGAAAGGGGCCACCTCATCAGAGAAAGCAGAGCCTGACAGACCAGCAACCACTAGCGGTGTCAGTCTCCCTCCCACCGTCAAGCCCCCCATGGATCGTGAGCAGATTGCCACCCCCATAATTCCCCCTTATTATCCCTACGAGGATGAGAAGGGCCCCAGCCGAATGGGGGAGACTCCTCTTCCCCCCACCAGGGGCCTCACTACTATGAAAACTGAATTTGAATTTAAATCACAGCACAGTGACTTGGAAAACCTTCCTAACCCCCCTGATGGGCCCCCTTCATATGATGATGCCATGAGTGGAGGGGTCAAGGAAGAGGAGAATGAGGAGGACTTTGTACACCCCCCTCCCACATGACTACCAGTGGAGGAATGCCATATGGATCTGTGATTCCTAAGGAAGGTTTTTTTCACACATGCATCTGGAACACCTAGGGCCTTTCACAAATTTAAGGTTTTTTCCTATGGATTGTCAAAGGTTTAAAAAAGTAACTGAATCTTGTAGCAGTGATATCTCTTCTACTTATTTATTTTGTGATCTGAAGAATTATTTATGTTGTTTTGTGTATTTATGGGGGGTTATTAGTGAAATCATTATTATACATGATACTTTGTTATTCATTTAAGTTAAATGATCAGTATCAATGAAAAATGTGCATAAATGTACCAAGTGAATTTGAAAAAAAATTAAATATTTTGAACATTGATGTATTTTTGTCCTATATATATTTTCATAGAAATGTGTTTTGCAACCCTCGCATATTAAACCTACAAAGAAACTTGGGCAAAATGTGACCACTGGGCCAGAAAAGCTGAAACTTATGAGCCTTCTGCTCAGGTGAGCTAAAAATGACAACTGAATAGTTTTTAAGTAGTTCACCTGGGCTTAAGGCTAAAGTGGCCTTTTCTGATCAAAATTTATTCTGTTGTATGGCATTGCTGTTGACAGAAACTTTTAACATTTCTATCTTTTTCTCCAAAAAGAGCAGGGTCAATTTCAACCAACCTTTGCACAGAGTATCCTTGGGTTGCATAAATTTGAATATATAAAAGATAGTGATATTGATAAAAATTAATTAACAAGGCATATTTCAAGAATATTCTTTATCAAATTGGAAAAATAATGAAACAAAAACATGAAGAATACATGAATCAACATATGATGGACTACTTCACAATGTGCATATCAGACAGACTACATGGTATTGAGATTTTTGACTGACAGATCATTGAATAAATCAGATCCTGTTGACAAATTCAATTTTATATGCTTCTGCATCAAATTTTTGCCTTTAACTTTTAAATATCACTGCACAAAAAGTGCACTTAACTGGGATTCCTCTTCATAAATTCTTAGATGCTCTTGCAGATTGGGTTCCTGTTTGAAAAATTCTCCACAAAAATCACAAACCTGACACATTATAACGTGTACATGTTGTAAGAACATGTATTACTTTTGTGAATGTGTTATGCATGTTTGTATAAAGCCTAAATCATGTACACAGATTTGTGAAACCTTTGCTGTAATTAAGATTTGCAAAGGGCTTGATATTTTCCTCATAGTGACTTCACAGAACATTAACTTACAAATCTGATGATAGTATAAACATGATAAACACTCCCCATAAAATGTCTGGTATGTACATGTATATACTGGTATAAGTTTTATTGTCATTTTCACTTGGTTCATTAGATCTATCAAATCCAGTTTAAAGGGGCCTGGACACAGTTTCAGCCAAAAATTTTCATACCTTTTTTTATGTTTACAAATACAAATTTACTTAACAAAGGTGTTTCTAATGATCATTAACTTTTTGAATTTCAGTTGTCGAGTTACAAGACAGATTTAGATGTCCAAACCTTTGTTATGTAAACAAAGCCAGAGCCATGTTTTTGTTTACATAGGCTAAACATGCTGATAAAAGCAGATTTTCTCAATAAACATGATAAAGGGGTTAATTCTAAATACAATTAGACATTTTCTAATGATTTGCTGAATCTTGTTTTGTTATAAACATGAAATTTTTAAATATAAACAAAAACAAGGCACAAGCCTTGTTTACTTTATGAAGAATTCTCAGTCCTGTATCTCCCTTGTAAATTCAACAAATGATGTTCAAAATTTGCTGATCATTAGAATGGCTTTAGTGAGGAATTGTAAAAATAACTAGAAATATGTCCATAGGACATGAATGCCCCACCGAGGCTATATAAGTAAAGCAACATGAAAATTTGTATGTGTATAAAATTTGATCAGAATATCTTGAATAGTGATGCAGTTGAATTGCTTACAAGGCCGAACGAAATGCCAAGGTCAAAAACTGTTGATGCAGTTGAAAAGCTCTCATCAGTATGTTTCACCATATGAAGTTGAAAAAATATTATAAATGTTTTCTTCAAAACTGACTTAAACACAAATGGATAAAAGTGAGGACAAGGTCAAATGAAAGGTCAAGGTAAAAATGATACACTTGAAATGCTTACCTTAATATATATCAGTCTATGACATTTGACACTAATTAAGGAAAAGTGAGGTCAAGGTCAAAAGAGAGGTCAAGGCCAAAAATGTTGATACAGTTGCACATCTCTCATCAAATATGTATCAACATAATTATGAAGTTTGATAAAAAATGTCTAGAAATGTTGCCTTTAATTAAAACTGACTTAAACACAATTTGATAAAATGAGGTGAAGGTCAAAAGGGTCAAGGTCAAAATTGTTGAAGCAGTTGAATTGCTTACATGAGTATGTATCAGCATATGAAGTTTGACACTGATTTGTGAAAAGTGAGGTCAAAGGAAAGGTCAAGGTCAGAAATGTTGATGCAATTGCATATCTCTCTTCAAAATGTATCAACATATGAATTTTGATAAAAATATCTAGAAATGATGTCTTTAATATTAAAACTGACTTAAACACAATATGATAAAAGTGAGGTCAAGGTCAAATAAAAGATCAAGGACAAAATTGTTGATGCAGTTGAATTGCTTACATCAGTATGTATCAGCATATGAAGTTTGACACTGATTTAGGAAAAGTGAGGTCAAGGTCAAAGGAAAGGTCAAGGTAAAAAATGTTGATGCAGTTGAATAGCTCTCATAAGTATGTATCAACATGTGAAGTTTGATAAGACCATCTTAAATGGTATGTTTAAGACTGAGCAAAACACTAATTCAAGAAAAGTGAGGTAAAGGTCAAAGGAAAGGTCAATGTCAAAAAATGTTGATGCATAGCTCATCAATACCTATCAGCATATGAAGCTTGATGAAAAGATCTTGGACAGTTTATTTGAAACTTAATAGCTTTGAACAGAGCTAAACGCAAAGTGTGACGGAAGGACGGAAGACAGACATGACAAACACTATATGCCCCGGCCATATTCATGGTGGGGCATAAAAATTGGTAGAACAAATTTCAGTCGAAACTGTGTCCTTTAAGTCTTTTTAGCCTTTGAGTGTCTTTTCATGTGACCCCGCAAGTTGGATGCACAAGTGAAACCTTTTCCACAATGTCCGCATTCAAATGGTCTTTCCCCTGTGTGGATATAAGAATGTGTCTTCAGATTGTATAATTCCGCAAACGTTTTTCCGCACACATCACATGAATGTTCCCCGGTGTGTAGATTCATATGACGATTAAGACTTGCCCTATGCCTGCACACTTTCCTACAGATTTTGCAGGAGAAAATAGGTTTGTCATCAGAGTGTACTACCATGTGTGCTTGACAGTCCCTGGGCCAAAGGAATCCTTTCCCACACACTTGACATTTGTATGGACGTTCTACTGAATGAGTCAACATATGCTGTCGTATTACAGAACTGGTTGCAAATGATCTTTCACACACTTGACATTTGTATGGACGTTTGTATGGATGTTTGTATGGACGTTTGTTTGGACGTTTGTATGGACGCTCCTCTGAATGAGTCCACATATGCTGTTGTTTTATAGAACTGGTTGTAAATGATCTTTCACACAAATTACATTTATAGGGTTTATATGCTGGGTGAGACTTTGAATGGGTCTGCATTTCTTCAATATTTGAAAACTCTTCTTTACACACATGGCACCTGAACGGTTTGTATTCTGCAAACTTTTCTGTTTTGATGCCAGGACTTAAATTGTTTTCAGCAAAATTCTCTTTACAAAGGACTAAATTGTCCGCGTGGTTTGATGATGAATCTGTCATATCCAATCTGCATTAAAGGAAAATGAAGAAATATATTAATACAGAGCCCTGTTCAATTTTCAAGAATCAAAGTTTAATTACTCTGTCTGATTCTAATTCAACCATTTGTAATAAATTGCTTAATAATTTAAACATGTTGAATTTACATGTACTGTGATGCATGCAGTGCAATTCAAACTAATGTTTAAATAATCAGAGATAAAATTATGTCACACTGTCACACAGGTGATCACAAGACATCCTTTTCGACTTAAACTATCATATTTGTGATGTAATCCATACCATCAAAGCAAAAAATTACGAAAAACAAACAGTTTATGGTATGGTTTACTACATCACGAATATGTTACTTAAGGATACTTAAGTAGTTTAAAAAATCGAAAAAGGTGTCTGTCCTCAAGCACCTGTGACTGTCATAAGACATCCAACAAGGAACGTGTAAATGCTCTATCCTTTTGCATGCTTCTACAAAAACACAGTCTTCTTAGACCTTTATGTTTCGATGAGCGGTGCTAGCGCTACAAATTAGTGATTAAAAACAGGATAAGAGAGATAAAAGTGTGTATGCCAGCTTGTTTTCAACCTAGTCTTATTAGAGACAAATCCGAAAACTGCTTATTTCTTCTTTTGTAAAAATGTACATTGTACGTTACACGTTACAGGTACAATCAAAGATATTTTTTCTTCTTATCAATAACATTAATAAAATCAGCTGAGTCTACATTTAAAATAATTTGTTTCTTACTTTAAAATCTTTGTGATTTTGTGATGGTGATTTTCAAAACACTGGAAATGGATTGCGCTACATATTTCACAAACCAGGAACGACGCGAAAACAGAACAAATATATCCGGATAAATTTTGAGGCACGAGGGCATCCTTTTTCAGGTGTTGTGCGCCGTGGGTTGATGAATAAAAAATCTTCTGATCCCAAAATGTTTATGAATAGGCAAAAGATGGCCACAGTTTAAAAGATTGATTAAAAAAATAAACAGAAAAATTCATGCATGACGATGATGAAAAACTGTGCCAGAAAATCAACTTAATCAGTCATATAACCGAAATCAAACCTTGCAAATATCAAACACTATATTTTAATGCCCCTGCAATGGGGATTTGGGGATATATATATAGTTTTTGCCCCTTCTGTCTGTCTGTTTCTTAATAAATTTCCCCGGTTCCGACGCCTATGATAGTTATTACGTGGAGGGACTCTGGTAAAGAACAGTATGGTCAAAGTTACTCAGGTGAGCGATGTGGACCGCGGGCCTCTTGTTTTACTTACTTTGATCATTTCAAAATTAAATTGAAGACAAATGAACCAACCGAATCTACTTGTTATAATCTTAGACTAATAAAAGTTGGCAATATGTTTCATTCACAGTTTGTATTATGATCATAAATACAAACATGTCCATGGAAAAATGATTTAAAGATTAAATATTCCCAGAGAATGATTAACATATCACATTAAAAAAACTCACATCACAAAACATGGATATACATGTACATAATGTTTCTTTTTAACTTTTTTCTCTATGCAAAAACACATGTACATATATACACATATTGGAAAGACAAATGAACCAAAAATACAGTATTGTTAAAAAAATCATTAAACTGTTATACAAATAAAAGAGTTGGCAATATTTTCCCTAGCACAGCGCGCTTTGTATCATGAAGTCAGGGAAATAATGGAGAGTAATTCCTATCCTAGTACTTAATGAAGATTTATTAAAGAATAAATATTCCCATTTTTTTGCAGAATGATTGAAATATTCATGTTGATTTCAAATAAAAAGTTTGGTGATTACATAACACACACATATACACACACGCATGCACCAACGAATTTCTTTTCAATTTATTTTTTTTTGTCTTTTCAAAGATACTTATTGACACTGGTCTACTCTTTCAAATGTGAGTGAGTCTTCTCAGAAAGGACAAGTCTCGAGTACTTGCTTGAAAAATACAGTATTGGCAACAATACAAAAAATAATTAAACTGTTATACAAATAAAATGACCCTGTTGAGGATTTGAAAATTCTCCTTCTGTTTGTATGTCACTCTGTCTGTCTGTCTGTTTCTTAATAAATTTTAATCCTTCTTTTGATACAGTTTGGAAATAATAATACACAGTAATTCCCTTTGTAGCTGAGAAATTTTTGACCTTATTCAGTATTGACACACTTAAACAAAAAAATTTATAAAAGTTTAACTCTGGCTATAACTTTTGTACAGGTTTTTTTTTTTTTATTTCGCAACATTGCAAACATAACTTAGACATTTTTGAACTTGACCTTAGGTTTGATCCCCTTGGCTTTGGCTTTCAAATAATTAATGTTTAGGTTTCAAATGTGAAGTGTTTTAAGAAAGTTTTGACCTTCTGCACCTGAAAATGTTTTTTTTTTAAATCTTTAACCCCCCCCTTTGAACAGCTGGTGCAACACACACACACATTTCGCGCGCGAGCGCGCGCGCGCCCACTTTAAAATGCTTTAACATTGGCCATAGTTTTTGAACATTTTTCCCCTTTGGCTTTCGATTTCAATTTCCAATTTCCTTTTTTGGCATTTGAGAAACTTTAACTTTTCATTTTTTTTGTTGTAAGACTGTTTCTTGTGAAGGAACCAGAAAAGTAGGTTGTTACTTTCAAAGTTTCAAACTGAAAGTATCCTAGCGTATTGTATTTTCGACCTATTTAATTTATTAATTTATCGCTTTATAGAATTTGAAAAAATATGGGCTTAAGAGATGTTAGCAGATGTGCAACTATATAAAATGATATAACCCAAATTGCAAATTTGTGTTTATTATATTTATATGCCATAATATATATTTCTTTATAAACGTCTTGTGTTTTCCAAATATAGTATCAACGCCTAATTTTGGCTATAAATATCCATTGGATATTCCAAACAATAAAAATACACTTTAAAAAGACTTTAACATTGGCCATTTAGTTTTTGAACCCATCTGTCAGTATTTTTTCCAAAAAAATCAATGAAATTACGGCTTTTTCGTAAAAATTTCACAAGTAAAAATCCTTTCTTCATTTCAATATTCTTCTTTACCTTGGAAAAATTAATTTTGTAATTAACCGAAACTTTAACTTTTACATTCATGGGACATCGGTGTTTGTTGTATAGACTGTTTCTTGTGAAGGAACCAGAAAAGGGGGAGGTTCAATAATTTTGCCGATGTAAAACAAAGCTAGTATTCATGTACATGTATGTATATGATTGTACCCCCCCCCCCCTTTCAACTCGAAAATTATGACAGATGAATGATTTTCAAAAGATTGGATAACTTTTTATCAGAAAATATCTATGAAAAATATGAGAAGCAAAAAATCTTGATCCGCCCCCTATAGTCGTGAAAAATAAAAAAAATGACATAAGTAGATCCGCGCCCAATAGATCCTAAAGGGCAGATGACTCCGCCATTAATTAATTTTCAAAGAGTTCACGATGTAGGACAAAGGGGGTTCACGGCTTGTTAAAGGGACCTTAGTGACACGTTCACTCGGTGGCCAGCGCTCAAGGACAGTAGACACGTGTCGCATGAGGAACTAAAATCCAAATAAAGGTAAGTTTGTGCAGGCGCAGACCATTTTAAAGACGGTAAATGCACGTGGAGCAAGGAGAGTGATGCTGCCTCCTTATACCGGCATATCTATTATCATGATTATATATGATTATATTATATATAAGCCTAATAAACAATAAATTAGTCAAGTAAAATAGAAAAAAATAAACTGGAGGATTAAAGTATTATTAAAATCATTGTTATAACTTCATAGTCGTGTATGAATTAAAGTATTGCATAAGGAGATTTCGTTGTCTACTGGGTTTCAATCACGAAAAGATAACTCTGCAAGATAGATTTTATTAGGTGTAGGCTTCATCAAATAAAATGACGTGCATAAATGCTGCTAATGCACTATCCCATTATGTACCACACGCACCTGTTATTTACCTTGCACTTCATTTTTTAAAATTAGTGTGTAATTACAGTAGGATTGTTTTTGCATGTGATTGTTTTGAGGTTTACAAATTATGCAATTAGCAGCTTGATTATGGAAATTGTAAATTGACTTTATCATTTTTATGAAGACAAGGAGGTTAGGTATATTGTAATGAATACTAACCCCAGACACCAAACTCGCTTGAATTTTTGACCCCCTTGTATATTGTAATGTATACTATGGTCAAAAATTCAAGCGAGTTTTTATTGCCTGGCCTTCAGCAGTCAGGGGGGAGTATGAAAACAAGTCATCAACTTCTCAATAGAGAATTGTTGCTTGTTGTTTGAAATATTGGAGCAATAGAAGGCAAAGCAGATTTTCAAAACAGAAAACTGGAGAACGTATTTAATTTTATAATGAATGATAAACTGAAGAATAATATTCCTCTGTCTGGCCCCCTTCATCAGGTTGAAGATTTTGTGAGTTACAGCTTGTGCGCATGTTAAGAGGAACTTTTTTGGGTGTTTTTTTGTTGTTGCTGCATGCAGTAATGTTCTCTGGCAGACTATTCCATTGTTTAATCACCCTGCAGAAGAATGACCACTTCCCACAATCCTTTGGTTGCAGATGGTATTGAGTGTTGGTTTGTATGCCGTGATATTCTTAAAGTGGTCCTCAGGTCTGTGTTGGCTACTTTGTTGTTATTTATATTGTACATCATGATCCATCTTGCATCTTCTACTTTTTAGCCGGGCTCATTGCTCGTAGAGCAATAGCGGGCTTTTTAAGTCCTTCCATTCCAAATGTTTAAGCATTTCTCCCACGCTAGTTCTATTTTATAATTGTTTAAAAAATTTAACAAACACTGTAAATAAATTTTAATTTACTTGATGAAAGACCAACTCCGTAAACCTTTAAATTGATTTTTTTTAGAGGGGGGAGGGGGAGGGTCATAAGTACAGTATGTCTATAGCTTTAATTTCAGTGAAATACAAGTAGTGAAATTGACACTTCTTTTTTGATGGACAAAATGAGGGCCATTGACCCTGATGATACTAAATAGCCGTCTCAGCACCCATAGCAGAAAGTTATCATAATATTTTACATGTCATCGTGAATAGTGTCAAATCCTGTTAAATCGTAAATCGCAGCACCCCTTGACGCAGGTAGGATGACAGTCCTCGAGGGAATTCTTATTTTTTCATCTTTTGTGAAGGTTTTAAAAATCATCATTGGAGGTCCCTTTCACTCATCCAGTGCATAAGCCCCCTCAATTAAACTTTTATAAAATGCCGTAAACTTCTAAAGCCAACATTCCTCGGATACCTCTTGGAATTGATAGAACTTGGGATTTTTTAAATTGCATGACTGTCTTCTCTGCTCTTTAGGTACAGTAAGTTCCATCGTTTATCTGTTGTAGAAAACAAATGTCACCATGAATCAGCAAACTTGCTCTGTTTTCTTTGGAGGGAATGCAGGTATACCCCTATTATTCAGCAATTTTTTTTTTTGGCTCTTATCTGCAGGGGAAAATCATGTTACTTCGTCAGGTCAGAAAGTGGGAGATGTGCATGAATTGCACAAAAGATTATGTAATTTAGTTTAAGAATTTGAATTTATTACTTTATTTTTTTAAGTTTAGCATTTCAAGCTCTAAGTTACATATTTTTTTATGCTTGCTGAAAATAATTATACATGTGTATCCATTTTAATATATGTGTAAACTAATTATCATATAAAATATGAAAACTAGTTTAATTTAATTGAGAAAGTATTTTTTATATCTAATTCTTATGGATGATATGTGAAACATCAAACTTTATTGAAGTTCTTTACTGAAAATTATTTTAATCATTTATCAGCAGTGCCATAGATTTGAATTTCAATTGCCAGATTAACTTTTATGCCAAACTATTCAATTTATAAATATATAATTACATTTTATGCCCATAAAGGAGAAAGATAATAGGTTTAGGTCATAAAAAGAACTTTCCAAACTTTGACTATTTTTATGGCATTCCATTTAACCCTAGCTAGATAATATCAAGTGGTAGATGTTATTATTATCAAATGTCAAGTACCTGTCTTGCAGCTTAGCTGTGAGATATGGCCACTTTTTAATTTCACAAGTACAAATTTGATTTTGAATAAATTAGATCAAATGAAGTTTGCACATGTTCAGTAAAATATTCCCACACTGAATATGAATTTAAAACCATGTATTTGGACTTTTAAATAAGAAAATTAATTAAATTTAATTTTAAATTAATTAAACATTTAAAAAATGACCCACATTTATGCTGCCAGCAGGGTGTCTATATATGTTAGTTTTGAAGAGAGATCGAAAAATATTGCTTTTACATACTTTGATCAGAAATGCATATATTTTCAGAAAGAATTAATATGTTGAGGTGCAATCAGGGGTCACGTGTATGATAAATTCCTCAGTCATGACATGAATGAATGACCACAAGGTGGCTGAAGGTCCCAAGTCAAGGCTTTGTTATTACAACCTGTGTTGAGGGGATGGGCCCTCTTATTGATTGACAAATACCTTTATATAATATCAACATACATATCAGCATATAAAAGGAGAAGAAATTCTATATTTTCCCCCCCACATCCTGAAAAGCTTTAGGTCCAACCTGATTTGCAACATCTGTAAGTAGTATATATTTTTTTTATAGGGGGAGGGGTGTCGGGGTTGGTGGATTAATTATATTATGCATCATCATTCATGCATGAAGTGAGATTAGTTAAGATTTCATGGAGATGTTTTTTGTTCTTTCTTTTGTATTTTATCGCAGAAAAAAATAATTTTAATATTGAAGCAATTCAATTAAACAAAACTTAACCATTCAAGGGACCTTTTCCTTAGTATGAAAGACAATTGATATTTTTTTTCCTAGTACGAAATCCGTATTTGTTGAAATTTTTTAATTGAAACATAATGTAGTGTCACTGCAAATTTATGTCATACTGTGAATTGCATTCTGTTCAAAATGCATGTACATTTAGTATGTACTATATCTTATAATGGAAAAAAAGATGTGTATTGTTTAGCATTGTAGAACTTGAAGGGGGGGGGGTGTGTTAGCTGAATATATGTATACATGTAGCTCAATCGATAAAAGAGCCTAGATTTACGGGTGGCCTGAGTTTGAATCCTGGTTTGGTACATTTTCTCCATTTCTATTAATTTGAGAATGTGTCATGCCATAGCCTGATAGGGATTCAGCGATAATGAAACTGCTTGGGATGAGATTGATGAAATATGTATTGATTTGGTAGGTTTGATTTTCACTGGCTTTGGTTTTGCATACCATGTTTGTTTGGGGGGAGGGGGTCCTTAAAAAAATTTAATTTTCTGCTAACTGGAAATTGTTCTTAAATCTGCAGAGCTTTTCATAATTGAAAAACAAAAAATTATTTTATTTTCAAATGTAATTTAGTTTTGAATTTTCATTGCCCGAAAATTAGTTACACTTGTTATTTTTAACACATGTGAGTCTTGTGTAATGTATAATTGATTGCCCTCTTCTTTCATTAGGGACCAGTATCAGATATACAAGTTTTAGGATCAATAAAATAGCTTTGCTTATTAGGATTTTCAGTGGAGCAGGCTGTACACTTAACAATACACACCTACTCAATGAACAAAATCCAAAATCTGCAAAGGGAGGGGGGAGAGGGTGGATTTGAAACATTTGTCTTTATGATATCTTTCATAGGGTGAGGTAGAATGGGGGTATGGTGATGGGGGGCATGCTGATCTTGGAAGAAATATTGTATAAGAGGCCATAGATGTTGCTCAAAAGATTTCTATCATAACAAGGAAAAAGAGGGATATCTCTTTCAGTCTTTATTACCATAAATAACTTCAAAGAATGCAGGCGGAAAACTTGTTCTAAAAATAGGTGGTCCAGTTTTGCTGGTAAAATCCATGGATACATCCTCTGAATTAGAAATGATTAACTATCAAGGGAAAGTTATTAACTACAAATTAAAACAGCTCTAATGCTCCTTTTTTTTTCGCCATGAGTCAAGCTAATTAGTCAACTGTTTGTTGTATTGTTTGCATAGAAATGATTTTTCATATGCACTGGTAACCTGATTAATGAAATGTTTAAAAGGATATAGAGAATGTTGAAATCACGATTTATAAATGGACAAATGTTGAAACCTCAAGTAAATAGAGAGATATTAATTGGAAGTTAAGATTTGGAACATACCGTTCATGATATCTGTATTTAAAATCCATAGTACTAGGGCAGAGGTATTTAAAACAGTTTTTATGTGTAAGGTGTTCTAATTTTACCCAATGGTCTGCCAAGAATTGGAACATGTCAATAGTGCTTAATGAACGTTGTATTCATTGTAATGTTTATACTGTTGTCCATGCATTACGTCCATGATAGGTGGGATTATGTCATAATTCAACGGGATATATATATATATATAAGTCTCAGTACCGGTCATTTAATTCCTGTGCATTCTAGTAATAGGCTCAGTAAAGCACAAATACCGGTATATATTGTAAATACGCAAGGATACCAGTAACACAGCAGTGGCAAGTGAGTTTTCCGATATCAGGATTTGTGTTAACCAAAAAATGATGAAAATTTTCATTAAAGAATTTTTTTTGAAAAAAAAAACAATAAATGAATTGCATTAATTAAGGATCATAACTAGGTGTTCAATTTACAGGTAGAGAGACTTCTGTTTGTTGCAACTATAAATGCATTTTTGAAATAATGAATTAAGCTATTTTATTCTTGCTCCTGTATAGCTTTTATATATATATATAATGCATGTGTACCTTTAAAAAAAATTATTGTCCCATTTTTTTTTTAATGCAATTTTTACAAAACATTTTTTAAGCTCTATACTTATTTACCTAAAGGCTGTGTGTTTTTTATTTATTTTTTTTAAATTTACAGTTCCAGGTGGACTCGTTGCTGTGTTTTAATTAAAATGGAGTGTGTGGGCTGCTAATTAAGACATCCTTCGTGTAGGCCCCACAAACTCCAAAGACACCATGCCGTCAAGCGCCTGCTCCACTTATAAAGAGGTCGTCATTGTGGGTAAGAATTCATTTGGTACATCAATGTATTTTATTTAAATAATTTAAATTTTTCTCAATTTATATAAAAAAAAACTTTCTTAAGTAATACTGTACAGTGTTTCCCTTAAAAGTAGCTAAAGGCCAAATCGACTGCTTCCATTGATATATATGTGACTGAAATAAAAATAATCAAAATTTAATAGTTGTAAGGTCCACAGAGATTTGTCATGAACCTCTGCTCAAAGCTTGTTACAATTGTTCTCTAGCCTTTACTTTGAAAATAAAAGGGAAAAAAACTAATTGCTGCCATTAATTTAAATACCGGTATCATGTCTAAAAAGGAGTTCAATTTTTTGTTTATACAGATGAAACATGGGATGTCTTAATTAACATTTTAATAAGAACTCAAATTCTACTTATAATACTTATAAATATCATGTTAAATTGCATCATGTTAAAGTGCCTGAGTAATCCTATGATTATATAATTAACAGGAAATGGCCCCTCAGCAATCAGTTTGTCTGTCTTCTTGTCGGGGTATCGGCCATATTTTGCAGGAGGTACTCACTCCAATGTGTACCTTAACGAAAAGCTTCAGAGGATGAACCCAAAGAAATCCATTGTTGAGCAGGTATTGAACTGATAAAAAAAATGTGGAGAAAACATTCATTGTGGATAAAAAAAAGAGAGGCATTGGAGGTTATTGTTAATACAGAGCATTAGGGGTTGTAGCTAATACAGTGTATCTTCTGTTTCAAAATAAGAGGGAATCTGGTGCAATGATAGCTCTTGCAGAAATGAATGTAAACATAGTAAAGGGTGCATTCAAGTTCACTGTGCTTGTCTCAGGCATTTATTTATCAACAAAATATCTCCCACGAGCACAGCCTATAAGCATGTTCAAGATAATTTTTTTCTGATATATATATTTTTTTCATTCGTTAACCAATTATATCAAGGAAAAATTATTGATTGGATGAGAAACTGAGTTAATGATTCAACCATATTTATCTGTGTTTGACCTGAAAAATTACCGGTTTGTAGTTCCCAATAGAATGTAGGAGTGATTGTGAAATTCTCATGTCAATAAGTTGTTGATGGTTTAGACATGTTAGAGGCAGGATGTTTCATTGTGTGTGTATGATAAATATATATACAGGTCTATGAATGAGCAGGAAATCAATATATTGTATGATGTAAACATAAAAGGCTCTATCTTGATAGATAGACATAATTTGCCTTCAAGCCCCTAAACCAATTAGAAAAAATATGTTCATGCAGGTCTTTGAATGAGTAATAAGTCAATACTTTGTATGATATATTAGAAACACAAAAGGGCTTTATATTTTATAGAAACCTGTATCTTTTATTTTTAGCTCTAAAAATCAGTTTTCTTATTTTTGATTTTGAAATAAAAAAAAATTTTATTGCTCAACCAATTCTGTTAATCTCTTATTAATGGCCATTGTTCAATATTCTCTCTTCCAGCATCGTTAAATTTTCATGTACTAATTTGCTGATGTCACGCTATGCAGGATTTGTCCTTCTTGTCGGAGGGACTTGAAGGCCGTTCCCCCAACCCTGTGGCTCTTCTGTTTGATGCCCTCCGCAGGCCAGATGCTGACCTAGGGGTAGACAACCCATCCCTACTGGAATGGAAGTTTGAAAAAGACCATGCTATAGAGCATGTGGTGTTGGGGAAAGGCAAAGCAGGGGGAGCATGGCAGGTAGAAGCATAAAGTGTTTATATACTGTATACAGGGTTATTTTCAACCCATGTTATTTTCGCCCTTTTCACACATTCAAATGAGTTTGCCCCATATTGAATTTCCCCAAACACAGTTCTGATAAAGAGATAATACCATTTTATTTGAGTTTTCCCCATTTTAAATTTGCCCAAATGCAACAAGGGCAAAAGGGGCGAAAATACAACGGGGCAAAAATTTCTATGTATACAGTACATTGTATTTGTTGTATGAAATGTAGAATCATCGATGAGACTGGTTTCATTTGTCTTTTTCATATAGTATTTGATAATTGAAAATTTTTTTTTTTTCATCCTTAGAATATGGATGGTGCCATGCAAACCTTGAGTTTTGCTAACTGGATGGAGCTCCCCACTCTTAATTTCAAAGAATGGCAAAATTCACACCACAGGTAATTCTAGGAAAATTGTTGGATTTTAGCATCACTCCAATAACTTACAAGAGCTGATAAAAACTGCATCATGATTCATCTGCAGGTGCTATGAGTATTTAACCCTTATAATATCTAAAAAAAAAAATTCAATTTTATTCTAAATTGACTATGCCCTGCACATATAAGCTGAAAAGTTCATCTCTGAATGCTTCTGAAGCAGGTCATCATAGAAAACCTTTGGTCGGTTTGGCTTCTCTTACAAGAAGCGAGACTGACCGTGGGTTTCCGATGATGGAAACAGGTTAAAAGGTTAAAACTTAAGGCTTTTTATCTATACATCAAGCCTAGTGATACTTAAATTTGACCCCCTCATTTCAAATCCACATACCGGTATGTAGAGCAACAGACTGAGGTAATAAAGTTATCTAAGGTGAGGTGTCCGAAAAGGTATAACCATTGTAAAATAGGTTGCCCTAATTTGTTTAAAATTAGATGCATGGTCAGGCCCTGGTGTTTATATATGCTTATTCATAGTAAGTTTAATTATTCTTTGGATATATTCTAAATACTGTATAAATCTGTGCTGAGAAAAAAATCCAATAAAAAGTATGAAGTCGCTGAATGTATTACTTAAGTCAGAAATATAGGTTATCAGGAATTAGGTCAAGCACTTGTTTGCTTATTAATTCCTGGAATGCCAGTGTCCTGAAAAAAAGATAAGAGTAAAACAGGCTCTCTGTCAATATATTATCTTTATAAATATTCCACTCATTAAAAAATGCTCGTTTTAATTTAGAAAATTCTACTTGAATTTTGCAGAGATGAAAACCATGCTCATAATGGCAGGGCAACCATTGCAGACGTTAGAAAGTACTACAGTGACTTTGTGGAAAAACGAGGACTGGGGCCATTTTTCAGGGACCATCACGTAGTTACTTCTGTACAGAAGAAATACCACAGCAATAAAGATGTGGACTCTGAGAATGGAGAAGTGGAGCCATGCAAATGTAGAAACAAAAACCACTCCTTCCTGTGGGAGGTCAGAGGTTACCATTTCCATGGCGACAGTGAGCTAGACAGAGAAGAGTTCTGTTATTGCACCCCAAATGTTGTCATAGCAACAGGAACCTTTGATGTCCCAAACAGACTCTGTATTCACGGAGAAAGCTTACCTTATGTTCATCACTCTCTACAAGACGTTGAACGTGTATTATCACAGAACCGAAAGAAGAAATCCCAGGACCCTGTCGTCATTGTCGGAGCTGGACTAAGTGCAGCAGACGCCATCATCATGGCTCTCAAGATGAAACGCCCCGTAGTTCACGTCTTTCGAAGAGGAGCTAATGACTCTCAACTTATTTTCAAAAAATTGCCGGCAGCTATCTATCCAGAATATCACAACATCCATTCTTTGATGAAAGGCAAAACCATCAATCCCCTGTACAAACCGTACCCCAACCACTCCTTGGTGGAACTGAAGGAGGACAATCATGTTCTGATCCAGACAACTTCCGGGGGTGACATCGTTTCTCTGGATGCTTTCTGCATTGCTATTCTGATCGGAGCATGTCCTGACTTATCATTTCTTCCATACGATGGCAGAAATCTTGGTGTCGTACCACGCTGTGCCATCGACAGCAAGCACAATCCGATTCATGTAGATCCATTTTCGTACCAGTGCGTTGCGGAAAGTGGACTTTACTCAATGGGACCATTGGTTGGGGATAATTTTGTTCGCTTTGGGATGGGGGGCTCTTTAGGCATTAGTAATCATTTGTTGCGCATAAAAAATAAACATGCACAATAGAAAAGATCCTCAAGTGCAATAGCTGTGATGTATGGTTGTGATAACCACACTTTTAACTTATTTTAATATCAGATCTTTCTGTTTACTAACAGGGATCTGGGCCTTATATACCTCAATTGACTGATCTGTTTTTTGTTACATTTTTTTTTTATTAAAAAGTTTAGAATTTTTTAAGAAAAATCTGTCTTCCTTTTGTGTTTTTATAGTGATATCAGTAAATGTGGGTATTTGAAAAGTTCTTGATATAAGATTTAAGTGTTTTAGAATGTTTTAAATGCTATAGGTAAAATAGGCTTACTGGGCATTTTGTGATATTCAAAAATTTGAAATATTTTTATGCGCCCGAATTTTTTCGGGGCGCATATTGTTTTTGTCCTGTCTGTTTGTCTGTTGGTCTGTCTGTCTCTTGTCAACTTTAACCTTCGCCAAAAGTTTTGAACCGTAAGAGATAGAGACTTCATATTTGGTATGCATACTCCTCTAATAAAGTCCTTTCAAATGACATCAAGGTCAATGACCTTGTGACCTTGACTGTGACCTATATGCTAAAAATAGCTTTTTCCACTGTTTGTCATAACTTTTGAACAAAAAGAGATAGAGACTTCATATTTGGTATGCATACTCCACTAATAAAGTCCTTTCAAATGACACCAAGGTCAATGACCTTGTGACCTTGTCTGTGACCTATATGCTAAAAATAGCTTTTTCCACTGTCTGTCATAACTTTTTAACCATAGGAGATAGGGACTTCATTTTTGATATGCATACTCCACTAATAAAGTCTTTTCAAACGACGACAAGGTCAATGATCTTGTGACCTTGACTGTTACCTATATGCTAAAAATAGGTTTTTACACTTTTTGCCATAACTTTTGAACCATAGGAGACAGGGATTTCATATTAAGGATGCATACTCCACCGATTAAGTGCTTTCAAATGACACCATGGTCAATGACCTTGACCTTGACTGTGACCAATATGCTAAAAATAGATTTTTTTAACTTTGTTGCCGCCGGGCGCATAGTGTTTCACAAACACATCTTGTTTCTTTTATAGATTCATATGAGACCAGAAATAAATACAGTTGAATCTTTTTAGCTTAGATGCTTGTGTTCCGATCAAGGAAATTGTCCAAATTAAATAATGCCAATATAATACTGTTATTATTAGATATAGATTTAACTTAGATATTCAGAATACAAATAAACAAAATATTGATTACCTTGGTGGTCATACAAGTCACAAAAAAATGAGCAGTGTAACATACACACTTTTAGGGGATTTACTGATTGACATAAAAATAAATTCTTGAAAACTGATTAAATTTATCATTTCTTTGAACTTAGCAAATGCCCCTGCCCTTGGGGCCATAAAACTTAGACAAGCTCACTTTTGATCACAGTCTCACTTTAAAGGAATATATAGTGGAAAATGAGACTTAGATCAAAAGTGAGCTTGTCTAAGTTTTATGGCCCCCAGGCCTGTAGTTTTAGGCCAACCTAGTCACACAGATGACCTGTTGTTATCTACAGTTGAACTTCATTATCTCAAACAGCAATATCTTTAATTCTAGTTAAATGAGATAGTAGGCCCAACCATTTTCTTTACAATTTTTACTGTTGTTATTTCAGATCGACCAGTTTAATGTTTAATCTTGATCCCATCAAGTTTGAGATAATGAGATTTGACTGTTTACTGTAAACCAACTTTTAGTCGTGACGATATTATTTCTCAATTTATCAAGGGTTAATTAGTTCGCAATGATTTATTTTGTCGACCAAGTTTTTTTATCTGTTGTTAGCTCACCTGAGCCGAAGGCTCAAGTGAGCTTTTCTGATCACATTTTGTCCGTCGTCCGTCCGTCGGTCTGTAAACTTTTCACATTTTCGACTTCTTCTCAAGAACCAATGGGCCAATTTTAACCAAATTTGGTACAAAGCATCCTCGGGTGAAGGGGAGTTTAAGTTGTTAAAATGAAGGGCCAAGTCCTCTTACAAGGGGAGATAATCAAGAAAAGACAAAAAATAGGGTGGGGTCACTAAAAAATCTATTTCTCAAGCACCACTGGGCCAGGAAAGCTGAAACTTATGTGGAAACATCCTTGGGTATTGTAGATATTAAATTGTTAAAATCATGACCCCCAGGAGTAGGGTGGGGCCACAATAGGGAATCCAAATTTTACATAGAAATATATAGAACAAATCTTTAAAAATCTTCTTCTCAAGAACCACTGGGCCAGGAAAGCTGAAACTTATGTGAAAACATCCTTGGGTAGTGTAGATATTAAATTGTTAAAATCATGACCCCCAGGGGTAGGGCGGGGCCACAATAGGGGATCCAAGTTTTACATAGAAATATATATGAAAAATCGTTAAAAATCTTCTTCTCAAGAACCACTGGGTCAGGAAAGCTGAAACTTACGTGGAAACATCCTTGGGTAGTGTAGATATTAAATTGTTAAAATCATGACCCCCGGGGGTAGGGCGGGGCCACAATAGGGAATCCAAGTTTTACATAGAAATATATAGAACAAATCTTTAAAAATCTTCTTCTCAAGAACCACTGGGCCAGGAAAGCTGAAACTTATGTGGAAGCATCCTTGGGTAGTGTAGATATTAAATTGTTAAAATCATGACCCCCAGGGGTAGGGCGGGGCCACAATAGGGAATCCAAATTTTACATAGAAATATATATAACAAATTTTTAAAAATCTTCTTCTCAAGAACCACTGGGCCAGGAAAACTGAAACTTATGTGGAAGCATCCTTGGGTAGTGTAGATATTAAAGCTGAACACTACTCGTAAATAGGCATAGTCCGCCATATTTCTCGTTCTTCAACGCTCTCCCTACAACTCGTATATAAGGAGCAGATCGCTAGTCAGTTCAATGTATTTCACTATAGAGATCCGACGAGTGTAGACGTACATCTTACAAATTGCTACTAATATCGATGAAATATATATAAACAGGACAAAAGTATTATAAAAATGCAGGGCAATACATTATTTACAAACAGAAAATGCACATAAAAACAAGAAATAAACGCAAAAAATCTAAGACTACGACAGGAGTACTACATGTCTGCCACGAGTTTCGAGTGTGCAATCGGGTGTAACGAAAGCGAACGGTTTATATACCCGTTTGACAGTGCCTATTTATGAGAAGTGTTCAGCTTTAAATTGTTAAAATCATGACCCCCGGGGGTAGGGCGGGGCCACAATAAGGAATCCAAGTTTTACATAGAAATATATAGAACAAATCTTTAAAAATCTTCTTCTCAAGAACCACTGTGCCAGGAAAGCTGAAACTTATATGGAAGCATCCTGGGGTAGTGTAGATTCTAAAATTTTAAAATCATAAAAGGGAAGCAAGGTATAACAAGAGGGGGAATCTGGTAAAGAACTGCATCACCCAAGTTACTCAGGTGAGCGATGTGGCCCATGGGCCTCTTGTTAATATAGACACAGAAACTTTAAGGACCAAACGCAAACCTCACAAAAATTTCCCGCATGCGAATAAGAGTTCATTTACAGTATCCACCTGTGTGTAAAATGGGGGGGGGGATATGTTGGATTTTCAGCTTCCTATGTGTAATAACTGAGTTAGGCTGAATTCAACAGTCAAGTTTTGGCCCTGATAAAATGGTTTTTGAGGTATTGGATTAACACTGTGAAAAACTGAGAAATCCTCATATTTAATTCTTTACTCTTTTCATTTAGAACACAAACTGCATGCTTGATAATAAAGAAGAGCTAGATCTGCCAAATTTGTTCCTGTTCTGAACAAAAATATTACACCTTTCTACTTTCATTTACTTTACTCATGAAAATCTATCAAACAAAAACAAAAGTGTTTGCAGGATTGTAATGATCAGCTAAGCCTCTTCTTTATGCTCCAGGGATGGGGACTTAATATTTCATTTGATGGAAATACCTTGCATTAATTTTGAAAATCATAACAGGGAATTATCCAAGTGATTGTAAAGGCCCATAGGCCTTTTGTGTTCATCTGCATTAATTTCAAGAAATTGGTACAATCTCCCATTTGAAGTATTTCAAGTGAATAAAAATTTGTAGAATGAATCAATGCTGATAATCTTTAAAAATGATTTTAAGAGAAGCAAATGTTTATTTAAATGCATTTTGAATACTCAATTATAGTGTAATCTATAAAGAATTTTGAATTTACACTCCCTCTACCTTTAAAACTTGAAAAAACTTATTTTAAACATTTTGATAAATAATTTCAGATAAGTCTGAATGGCAGTCTTTTTCTTTTTCACACTATGTGACCTAGATATATGTTTTTAGTTTTTACATTAATCTAAAAGGGAATAATTTATAAATTATACCAGAGAAACATGCCCACTTGATGTGAAAATACCAGTTAAGTACAGTAAACATACTTATGGCAAACAGGCTTATAATGAATGGCTGCTTACAGCGAAGTGATTTTCAATCCCTGTGACTTTAAAATATATCATGAACTTTATACAGATATAATAAATAGTTAACTTTGCAGATAAAACAAATTGTAATATTCGTAATGAAGCAAAATTGTCCGTCCTTGACACTTGATTATAAGCATATTTTACTGTATATAAATTTACTTTATTTTTTATTATTGGTCAGTGTTAATTTCTATTTAGACTAGTCCCTTGTAAAATGGGCATATTTTCCCTTTTCCTCCAAAATTTAACTAACAGGCAAGTGTATACTGTACTAAATATGGTTCATATGAGAAAAAAATACCTAAGTATAGGGGAAGTTGAACATTATCGTTAAGTATCCCCTTCCTTCCTGTTTTATCATTTCTGGAAATTGAGTGAATTCCCTTTCTTCCGTATATTGATCACTAATTATATGTTACCTAGAACTTGTATATATAGTAGTACATTCTATACTGGTTAAATAACCTGAATAAATTTTCAACATTAGACATGAATATGCATACATCTTTGATAAATAAAAGTTTTTAAACATTAGTTTTAACCATATGGGGTAAATATGTGAAGTGTGGGAATGCAAATAAAACTAACAGCTAAATTTTGTTATCTTTAACATTGATATTTTGAATACTTTGGATATGTTGAACTGATTTTGAAGTCTTAATTACTTTTTCTTTTTGTATTTTAAGTTTTTAAACTTGATCTCAAATCCTCTTGATTTTTCTTGTTTCCACTGAGATAACAAGGTTTAATTTTAACATTTTAAAAGTCAGTAATGTCACACGAAAATGGGTCACTGTGACCTGATTTTGAATTTTATTGCTAATCTTGTTTTTTGATCTTCTAGGATCATGTTTTCTGCATCAGGTTTCAAGTAGTTTATAATGACTTTATAATGACTTTTCCTGGTGGGCTTACCATGATGTGTGCAAATCACTAATAAATATATTAATTTTTGAAAGTTTAAAGGCATGGTGATTCAAGTGCAACATGATTTATCATAAGTAGATGTTTTAAATATTTTATTTTTAGTTATTAAATGCTATTAAATTGGTGCATATCTTTATACACCATTTATTCTTAAAACTTGTTTATGGTTATATTTACTGCTCTAAAAGAGGAAAAATGTAAAGTGTACCCAACAAGATCAATAAAATGATTTATGAACCAATACAGGTAAACCAATTACCCGATAAAAAAAAAATTCATCCAGTTTGACTTATTTAAAAAGTTGTTTGAAAAGAGTAATAAGCCTGCCATATAAGTATTAAGTATAAAGAAATTTTCTTCTCCTTGGTTTACCGGTACTTAACTTCTACAGCACTATTGGCTGAATTGATACATTAACTGCGCTGCTTATGGCAATAAAATATAATGATTGCTATTTTTACTTAATATGTTATAAAATCTATGAATATATTCATAACCCAGACTTTGTTCATAACCCAGACTTTGTTCATAACCATAAATGTTCAGTTAAGTTATATCTAAAAATCTGTTAGAAAATCTTTTTTAAATCTATTAATACCCTGTTTTAATGAAAAGGGAGGGGCATGAAATCTCATTCCTCTGTCAGTGTGTTAGTATGTCACAAAAACCTCAGCATTTTGAATGAAAAAAGATAGGTATCTCATATTTCCTGTATACATTAATTAATACTTGAGACTAAACCTTTCAAAATGTACTATCATTTAATTTTCACCTTTTGACATTGAGGTTTGGATATTTTTGAAAACTTTTAACTTTTGCTCGATAAGAGACAGGCCAAATTTTCATTGTGTCATATGTGAAAATAACAGGATATTTTGATATATAGAGTGTTCATGAATTCCTGCATCAATCTATATGTGCACCACATACATGCAGTCAACAGGATTCATTATTACGTTATTGGAAACTACCGGGTTTTATGAATCTATACCAGTCAAATAGCTAAACAACAACAAATATACATACCCACTTTATACATGACTGTACATCTATTTACTTTTTTAATCCTTAAAAAAATTTTGACTTGATTTTCTCCTGCAAATCATTCAATTTTTCAATCTATATGTGTAAATCAAATTTTGCAGAATTCTGAAAATGCCACAAGGGAACTTCAGTCTATATCACCATATGAACATACTTTCACATAAATATGAAAATACATTAAAATTTTATATTTAAACATTTCACTTTCTGAACAGAAAGCCTATTTGGAGTACATGTAATTATAAATTATGCTTTTTTTTTTGAAAAAATGATTTACCTGTTGTGAAAATGATTTACCTACTTCATCTACATTACTAGAACACTTCTCCAAATCAAGTATATGTTTTTAGCAAGGATTTAATTTGGCATTATTAGCAGGGTGTGCGTTTAAATCGTTAAAAATGCAATTTATTTGTTAAAACATTCATTTCAAAATCGCTAAAATAACATCTCGCTAAAAATAAATTACTGTCCAGTTTTTCACTAAATTTTTGTCTCGCTAAAATTACCACTTATACAGTATCTACAAACCAATATTTCTTCTTAAGCCTTGAAAATTTAACCCCATGAAAATATGTGATCTAGCAGTACATACAATCTTATATTAAAAAAAAATAATAACCCTATACCAGATAATACACGGTATGGGATTAATTTTTTTAGATAAGAAATATAAGTAATGCCAGGTGCCTGTGCCTTTAAAAATGCCATTAAAATTACAAGCCACTATATGTAATTGCTTTTGAACTTTGATTTATTTATATGTGTAATAAATACAACATTTCAAAACATAAAACAGTTAGTTCAGGTATATGCCCACTCATTGGTTCAACATAAAATCGGTAAACTATTGCACATCTGTATGCTTCAACAGTTTCTCAAACCGCTAAAGATTTACTGGTCCCATTGAAAACTTCTGATAAAAAAAATACAAATCTAGATGAATTACATGTTAAAATGCACCATATTATGTCCATATGTGAATCCGAGATTTAAATTTGATACATCATTGCAAATACAAGAATCACTTAAAAGATCATACTGCCCGTGCCAAAATATTCGATGCCTATTTCTCTGCATATTTCCATACATTTTGAAGCCTTTTGCAACACTTTTAAATCTCAAGCACCTAAGTACCCTGGTACAAACGTTTGACCTTTTCCCTACTTTTATACCATTTTGCTGTATTTCAAAATACATGTTGATTTGATTCAAAATTTATTTTTCTGAATGATATGACTCTGGAATGTATTATTATCCCTGTAATTAAGTCACTTTTCTGTAGGCATGTCTTCTGTTTGCACTTTTTCCTGTGGTCCTGGAAAATAGTCCTTGGTGCTGAAAATTTCAGGTGGGTTGAAAACAGCTTTTGAAACTGGTTTTTTCTGCAAAGAGTATGATAATTCACCCATGACATTCATGCATAAATGTTAAATACATTGTAAGAACAATTTTTTTTTCTTAATTTAAGGTCTTTTATATTTCTGCTATTTTTATTTATAAATCATAAAAAATTGCACAATTTTTTTTTTAAAACCTCCCACACTTTGTTGATTATTGCTTCACCGACTTTCATGCGTTAATAAATCACAAAAATATTAAAATTACCACATGAAATTTTTTTTTGTTCACTTCATGCCCTAAATACCCGTAATTTTACCAGTCATTTGTTAAAAATATAACAGATTTGTTGCTTTTTTTTCAAAACAAAAAATCCTACAACTTACTGGTCCTACAAAGGAGGATAGCATCTTCTTCAGACCACTTAAGGACCCCATTTCATCCTCTGCTTTGTTGACACACTCCTCTAACACACCCACATTTGTTTTCACCATTGCCACAAAGGCCTGTTATGTAAAAAATAATATAAGTGACCTAGTTCAATACATGTACACGTATAAAGATTCATACAAAATGACTAAATTAGTCTGTTGAACTAAAGGTAGATAACTCCTATACTGTTCATATAACGGGTACTCAATGGGACTAAAATCATGAAGAAAACACTTCTATATATCCAGGCATTTGAGTTGCCGAGATTAAAATACACAAAGATAGAGTAGTTGGGACTTCAAAATATCTTCAAGATATCCATTGTATTCGAGATGCTGTGTTTGAGATATCAAAGTTTAACTGTATTCTTCATTCTCTCTATCACCTTATAGTAATACATGTACCTCTAATTTGTCAATTTTCTCAAATATTTCCTGCATCTGTGAACATTTTGTCTGTATCCTAGGTAGTGTCTCTGTTAAACATATGCTAGTATCGGCTCTAATCTAAAACAACAACAAAACAAACTAAAAGGCCAATTCAAAGTTTTTTTTTTAATATTATAATTTGTTTAATTAATTTTTTTTGTTTAAAGATGGATAAAACTTGATTAGTTTTAAAAATTGTCATAAAAAGTATGATGAATTATAGATTTACCTGGTACATAGCATAAAATATGAATAAGTATTACATTTCACTATCTATAATTTCCACAAAACCAGAAGTCTCTTTCAAGACTGTAGCTCTACTGGTTTGTACTTATAACAAAGGAAGAGGAAGTAGCCATTGGGACTTGAAACTTTACAACAGCAATAAATATAATAATGATCCTTGATTAAGTCTGTTTTGGGGGCAACTTGTGTGCAATATTAAACCAAAACCAAACCAAAACAGTAGGAGGAGTATCGTTTAAAAGTATTTCACAGATATATCTATTTTTAGTAACTATGGCAACAATGTTCATCAAAATCAAGAACCAATGCACTGAATTATGAATCATAGTGTAGTCTACTTGTGTGCCAAGGTATATTGAAATCTCACAAAAACTATAGGAGGAGTAGTTTTTTAAAAAAATTCACAGAAATTTCTATTCTTAGTAACCATGGCAACACCATTCATCGAAATCAAAAACCGATGCACTATTTTATGTATCTTAGTATAGTCTACTTGTGTGCCAAGTTATATTGAAATCAGACCAAAACTGTAGGAGAAGTAGCATTTTGAAAAATTGTTTACAGACAGATGGACAGCTAGACAGACGGAGGGACAAGGGACACCTTACTATCGCATAAGCTCTTTTGGTCTCTGACCAGTAGAGCTAAAAAACTAAATAGGAGGTGTTTTTTATTAATTCAATGTAAAGGAAATTTAACGTTTCAACCTTATAGTTAACTTTATTTTATGAGAGATTGTGCAAATTTTAAGGTTTAAAACTGTTAACTCTGTGAAAAGAGAGACCTAATTTATAAAATATCAACAAAGGTCTTTGGTTCTCGCATTTACATTTTCTTTTTTTTTCTTTTTGGATTAATTTTTTAGTGAATCTGCAGGAAATTTCACATCATATGTGCAACATTATATTTTATACGTCAACTACTGTAAAATCACATATTTTTGAGGGGTCAAATTCTCGTTGTTTGAGGAAAATATATTGGTTCATGGGGATTTTATTTCATGGTTGAAGAATTTTTCAGTAGTGAAAAATTGCATTTTGTGGTGGACAAATTCTTGGGTCTCTACATACCTTGACATCCACGAAAATTAAACCCCCACGAAAATTAGTGATTTCACAGTAATTTCAAAGATCCCTCAACTTCAATCAGCTATTACCATATCAACTAAACCACAGAATTCTTCCATCTTTGTCAGCATTCCTTCTATATTTTCACTGAATTTTTCTTTCTGAAAAAGAATATTCATATAATCAGATAATGGCAAGGGAATTCTGGCACCAAGTGAAACTTGTCTAATTCTGCAAACATGCAAAGGGAGACAAGTTTTGTGTCATAATTATACAGACTGTTGAATTTCACAGTGAATAGGACAGAGAAAACTATAAAATTAAAAGAGAATTTAAATAGGTGTTGGAATATTGATAGTGAGGTGGATCACAACATTTGGTGTCAGATAAGGCAGCTAGTTTTTCACTGTATAAAATGAATTAATGTAACTTTTCCTTTAAAAGCCCTTTAAATTACATTCCTCCTATTCTACAGTTTTTATTGTTTCCAAATGCATTGTTTGTTATAAGATGAAATAACCCAAATGCATCCAATTTACAAGACATGTGTACATGATAAAATTCAATGAGGCATAGGATAATTTCAACAGCCATTAATTTCTATACAGCAACAGAGTAGTTTTTGGTGTTTGCCAATTTGTCTGCTTTTATCTGATTTGTCAATGATTTGAAATGTAATACTGTCAACAAATCAAATGAAGTGATAACATCAAAACCTCCTTTATCACTCTCAATAAAGAAAATTTAAGTGTCTGATATACATCAAGTTAATTGTCCAATTACAGTACACTGTATATAGAGCATTAAGGATGGGGTTTAGGATAAATTAGACTAGTTATAAGTAGAACTCGCTGACAGTGTGCTTGCAAACATATTAATAATATGCAATATACTGTTATTACCTTGGCAATATGTCTTTAAGCAGAGAGCCCACCTAGCAACCTTTTGTTGATAATATTAAATTTTGTATCTTTCTAAGCCTAAGTATTTTTATTATATTAAACAGTACATGGCCAACCTCTAAACATGAAAACAAGTAAAACCTGTTTGAACCTACTTATTTACATGCAATTCAGGACACATAGGTGCATGCTTGTATTGCTAATTAATTTGTCTTAAATATCAATTCTACACTTTTTTCTCAAAATTTTTCAAAGTGCCCCTCCCCCTTTTCTGAAAGGAAAATGACAGGGAAATGCTTAATATAATGTACCTCTTTGGCTGAATCAAACTGAGTGTAATTGACATAATCAGTTGCAATATCTTCAATAAAACTGTCAGGTGTTTTTTCTTGGGATTCGGGGCTGCTTTCTGTCTCTGAAACAATTTCTGTGTCTTCTTCCATGACTGCTGACAAACATATACTTTATCTACCTCCAACCTCACAAGAGTACTAGAAAAGAAAGACAACTCTTGCTCTTCCCCAGCCTATGCATTTCCATGGCTTTTTTCCTCAATGTTTTCAAACTAAATCATACATCTTATTATACCCCTGCTTGAAAAGCGGGAGGGTATATAGTAATCGGGATGTCTGTCTGTCTGTTACGCTTTGGGGTACCCATCAATCTCAAATCCACAACTCCTCTCATACCAATACCGTTGAATGGAATTTGATGAGACTTTCACAGAATTAATCTTTATTACATATTGCCAGTGTGCACCTCCTATTTTACTTTTGATCTGACACATATTTTGGGTTTCCCATAGCAAAACATTGACACTGCCATTATATCCATATGGCAGGTGGGGGATATATCTTGGCTTAGAAATATGTGTTGCCACACCAGAGACAGGAATAACATTATAACAATTAAAGTCTCTGGCCAGACTGAGAAGAATCAATCAATATTTAATCACTTCTTTAAATTTCCAGTTCATGTTTTTGGAGTATCCCTTGTTTGCAATTAATTCATGACTGTAGAAATCAAAACTTAATTTATGATCAAATTGCCACAAAAAAGTTGATCATGTAATATTCATATGCTTATAAAAATGTTTCAATACTCATTCAATACCAACGAAAAATAAGGCATTTTAAAAAAAATATTTATTATAAACTGACAATAAATAACACATACACCTGGTATGTACCCCTATAAAATACATGTATATGTATACATGTATAACTATCCTTCTATATTACTGTAAGTTGTTGTAGTATACACAGAGTCCTTCACAAGACAGCTGATTTGAGCCAAGTCCTGAATGGTCGCACTCTGGGTAACCTCTGCTTCATTAGCAGCAATCTGGATCAGATTAGCTGGTACACCTGAACTCTGAATGTTTAACAGAACAGAACCTGGATCCCCCTCTTGTTGTAGTTGAATATCACTGGTGTTTAGGAGCACTCCTTGATTTTCTGTGAAATATACAGCAGGTGCTGTTGACTCCTTCTTTTCATCTTTTTTAGAAGTTAACGGATCCACCGTGACTATATTCTGATCCTGCAGCTGTACTGTGTTACTGTTAGAAGGAGGAGGAGGGAGGTGAAAGGTGATCATGTGAGTAGTAACTTGTCCAGAATTTGGAACGGGAGACATGTGACTTTCACCCCCTTGGATGGAGGTTTCCTGAGAAATGGCATTCATGGCACAAGAGATAAGCTGTGTGATATCTTGAGTGACCAGTCCTTCTCTCATCAGCCGCTGAAGGTCCTCCTCTCGAATGCTTCGCTCCCCGGATTCCGACATCTCCACATGCATCTGGATTTGATTACCCGGATTTTCCACATTGCCCCCAACAAAAACTGGAGCCTGCTCACCAGCATTGACAATCTCTATATGTGGAACAGACTGACTGATATTCTGAATTCTTGGAGCAAATGTAATGTTTTCAGGTTTCTTTTTCACTGAGGTAGTTGGAATGAGTCCATTTTTATGATCACGCACATGGTCCAAGTACTTCTGTTCATTGACTGACTTGTAGGTACAAAACTCACAGCAGAAGATTCCATGAGCACCGAAATGTTTGTTCTTCATGTGAGTTTTGAAGCAGATGGCCTGTATACAGGAGTAAGGACAGTGGGGACACTTGTAGGGCTTCTGTCCACTGTGACGCATCTTGTGGCGCCTCAGAGAGTTGTGATCTATGGAGGCATAGTTGCAGACGTCACATCTAGAAATAAGGAAAATACAAAAACATTACTCTTTTTGATGTAATTACCGGTATGAAAATTAAAATCTTCAGTAGATTTCAGAAGATTTTTAACCATATTGAATAATATGATTGAGCTAATTCAACAAAATACCAATCCTAAAATTATACGTCTTAAAAACAGACAAAAAAATAAGATCCTTAAAACCTTACTGTGCAATCACTTTTTAAGAAGTTAATTTTTGTTGTTTTCAATATGTAAAGAGATCCAGGTATTCGTATCCAAAACAGAACTTGACCTAGATACTCATCTGATAAATCTGTATACCAAATTTCATTTCAGTATGTGCAACGGTTGTGAAGAAAATGAATGGAAACTAAATGGACCGACAGACAGACGGACCAACTGACCGACAGATGGCAGTAAAGCAATATGCCCCCCCTTCTTTGCAGGGGGCATAAAAATTGACCCCATCTTGGCAAGAAAATACCAGTATGTATTTTCAAAATATCTGAATTCATCTAACTAACTAGAATATTTCTGGCCTCTTTCTGTTTTACTTACTTGAATGGTTTTTCCTGAGTGTGAGTCCGCATGTGGAGTTCCAGCTGAGCCTTTCTGGCTGTGGTGTACTCACACACCGTACAGGAGAAGGGCTTGTGGTTCCCATGCACCACCTGAAGGTGGACCTGTAGACATTTCTTGCTCACAAATTTGCGACTACAGATCTCACATTCTTGCTCACCATACCTAGGCAAAGAAAAAAAACCCAGATGCATAATTAAGGTAGAGCATTTCAGTAATAATTAATAATATATCTAACCTAACTTTTGCAACATAGTTATATGGTATATATTGGCAAGACAAAATTTTCTGGTTATTGATCTATAAAATCTTAAAGAATATAAAAATAAATTTGAGAATAAAAATACATCACTAGCAGACAATCTTCCTTATTACAAAAAAATTTAAAGTTCTTGTGAATAAAAAGTGATTGTATGGTGGTGTGAAATATCAAATGATCTGATACTGTTTGAAAATTAGTCAAATGAAATCATTCTGTGTTCAGAAAATCCTTAGTTTCTCTTCATACCATTTGTCACTATTTTTGTTGTCACTGTGCACCATCTGATGGTTTCTCATCTGCGCTTGCTGTCGAAAGTGTTTTCCACACGTGTCACACGTGTATGGCTTCTCTTTACTGTGTATTTCCTGGTGGACCTTCAGTCGGCTGGCCGTATCGATTTTATAATCGCATTGATCACACTTCAACAAGTCTGTGTCTATCTGATGGGCCTTCCACAAGTGCAGGCGTACCAGACGCCATCGGTTCTGTTCCTGCTGGCACTCAGGACACATGAAAACCTCTGGCTTGTCTGTGTGACACTTCAGATGAATTTCTAATGCTGCTTTGGTCAGAAACCTGGCATTACACCCTGGTTTTCCACATTTGTTTTGGTAACTCAGGGCACTTTTGGGTTGTCTGGGCTTGTGTTCAGTTTTATTAGAATCACTCGATCTTGTCTTCCCGAGGTAGTAGTCATTCTTTAGTGCCTTGGGAGGGCAGATTTTACTACGTGTACGACTGCCCTTACTGATGTATTGCGTCTCTGACTCAATGGTCCATTCCACATCAGAGTCATTCAAATCCGTGGCTTTCACCTCCTCAGATTCATTTTTGGCGCGTTTTTGATTCTTTCTCCGTGATCTGGTCTCGACTTGCGTTCCCACGCTCACTTTTCCGTCTTCCACTGTTACATTATGTTCTTTATACATATGATCCTGACATTGTTCCATACTGGTGAATCCAGTGTTACACTGGCCACATAGAAACAATTCTTTTGTGATGGGCTCTGTGCCTGTTGTGGATGTCCCCGTTTCAACAGCAATAAAGTTTTCCGTTGAATCCAATACTTCCAGTCCCTCAACATTGTTCTTCATGACAACCGACTGAGCCATATTTTCAATGTTGCCATTTTCTAGAGATAGTTCCACAATCTTGCCGTCTATGTCAAACGTTAGTTTATTACTTGTTTCGTTAACAAAGTCCTCTTCTTCTGCAGGATTTTCATTATTATTTAGGATCTCAGTATTTTGCTGATCAGTTTCAGTGATGTCTAGCCCGGTTTCTATATTTTCTGCCTTGATTTCATTCAGAATTTGAGTAGTGGGAGCTTTTTCCTGGGGTTCAAGCTGGGCATCTTGGGAAATCACCATGACATTTGCCACTGTCCCATCGCTGAGGGCGTCTGGTGTTCCTGTATCTGAATTCTGAAATGCAAAGCAATTAAAGAATAAATTTGAATGCAGTTTTCCCGAGAGAAAAAATATAATACGCTACTTCAGTAAGTTGAAATAACTTGCATGTACAAAATGATGAAAGTTATATCTAATATATCAGTGTTCACTTTTAGTTTTTTATGCTGTCATTTCTGTGAAGGCCAAGCCCTGCCCACCAGCTAGTTATACAAAGGTGGAGGCTACTTTGCAGGGGGGAAAAAGGAGTTATCAAGAGGAATTCCATCAATCTATCTGAATTGATAGGTTAAAAAAGGGGGCTTGAATGCTGGGTCCAAATAGATGACCCTATGATCAACCATTTTACTGTGTATATTATAGCTGAAGGAGGTTCTTTGTGAGGAGACATAGAAAAGTGGCATACCTATCTATTTGTCTGTGTGTAAATTGTTGAAGATATGCCTTTACTGAGGTTATCAAAAAGTTATTTTGTGATTCTTTAGAATTACCTATTGTGTGAGTCCCTCTTTATTTTTTTTAAAAAAGTGGTCTAGCTTGTGAATTGCTCAATATCTCTGTATTTGAGTGGTTTCCATTACACATTAATTGAATTTTTGTTAATACAGGTACTATAATCATTAGATCTATTATACATCTCTGGTTTAATATTATATACATGTAATAGTTATTGTAATTACCTCTGTATTTGCCTGAGTAGACTGTGGGGGATCTTTGGCTGCAGAGGTTGCTGAGGAGAGATGGTCCTGTTGGACGTGGAGAGCCATATCTTTCACCGTTTGACAGGTGTGGATACAGAATTTACAATGGTAGGTCGTGACGACCTCCATGTAATCTCCCAGGTCAACTTCAGCTCCCTCCATCATCTACCATGCAGAGTCTTCTCTGATGAGGAAAAAGTTACCTTCAGGATAAAAATAAGTACTGAATAAAAGGAAATTTAAGATTACAAAATTATGTCTGATAGCTTCGGTCATAGATATCAGCCTGGGTATTTCAGTGCGAAGAGTACTGAACCAGACCAGCCATACATTAATCTAATCACTGATTAATATTTTTTGCCTATCCAGTTACAGATAAACTTCAGTATCTTGCACACACTGACAGATTAGTTGAATATCATGGAAATGTCTATTGAATTGAAAGTGATGTAATTGGAAGTCCTAGTTACTAATTCTTTGAGTTTTTTACCCTGGATATATCAAATCTTTAGATATCTTGAAGTTTTTTCTTGTCCTTATTAATTGGTTCAAGATAATAATATTTTTACTGTATACATTATAAAAAATCCCTATAACTCCTCCTTGAATTTCAGTTACATACATCTGTATGAGTATCTATCTGTATTGTTATGACACAGGATCTGTTTGGGCTTTAATGTGATGGATATCAGCCCGATAACAGGAGGGGGGAAATATATGGCTTGACTCAATGACTGGTTCAGTACTCTTACCATTGAAATACCCAGGCTGATATCAAAATACATCATTATTTGTTCTGACAAAGAAACATTTTTGGCAATTAATTATGCAAAATATTTTTTTAAATTAATTATATATAAACTATGAATATATATATTATTCAAGGCATTGTCTAGAATTTACAGTGAAATAATAATATAAACAATATTTAAAAATATAAGTAATGGTCTATAAAAATATTTTTTTTTGTCCTGAATTGAATCGAAATTCAATGCACTAAATTAAGCGTAACTCAGATTTTTTCCTTTTTTTTTCAAAATAAACGAATAAATACTTTAAAACGACGAAAGAATGTTGTACAGTGGACAAACATTCTGGCTGATACAGTGGTGAAATTACATGAGGAACTATTTCACCGGGCACCGTTTTTTATTCTCTAAACGATAGAAATACATAACCTGTAAAACTTCACCTGGGATATCTCTACATGGATTTTAGTTATAATTCAAATCTCTCGCATCCCTGTGTGTTGTATAACCAACATAGTTAATGAAAAAATAAATAGTTCAAATCCAGATAAAACACGTTTGATTCAGGGATACATGTACAAAGGTGAAGGTCATATAATCATCAATTTCATTGGTTTACAATCTGACTACGTCATTTTGCCATAGTCCGAGCCCGATGATTATATAAAGTTTCGTAAAAGGATCTGATTTCCTTTAGCTTAGGGGGTGGGGTGTTAGTCCAGATTCCGAAGAGAATAATTTAAATTGTCCGATAATTATTTTTTTGTGCTAAAAATATGATTCTCGAAAATTTTATACACCTACTAAACTATCAAGAAATAATGTTTTACATAAATGTTACATTGTGATTAATAATTAATGGATATCGGTTATCTATATAATTCTTCTTGACATGTATAGTATTAAATAACATGATATCATAGCATGTTTTAGCTCTATTTTTGATCCTATGGGGGTTAATTTTAAGCACTGTATTTAGTAAATGTGCGTAGATTTTGATGCTTTTTACCCCCCCCCCCCATTGACATTTTGTTGCTATAACGCTGGGCACTAACAAATTCAAGGAATTGGAAGAAATGAATAAAAATGTAAAGGAAAGTCCATGTTCTTTAGTTTTGTCTGAATTTAACATTATTGGATTTTCAGAGTCACTATAAATCACTTTGGAGCTGTAGCGTCAAAATTATGATCCCTGGATTCCCCCAGATAAAGCCAATATAAAAAAAATAGGGAAATGGAAAAGCAGAAAAAACCCACTAATGCTGATGCTTCATTTTCTGTTCAGATTTACTTATCTACGTACCCATACGTGTTTGTAACAGTTTTCGTTTTGTTAAAAATCCATTCCTTCCAGATGAATTCAAAACGAGGCAGCCGCTCAAATTTGAAGATCGGAAAAGAAGTGTAAACATGAATTTACATCTGCACAACGGTATATATTAATTGGTCAATAAAATGGTAAGAGTTCTTCTAATCGAAATTATTACATTAGAATCTGAAGTTTAAGTTTAATTACATGTTTAAGAATGGTAAAAATCGCCCATGAATGGTCATGATAATTTGTTTATCTTTCAAAGAGAGGTATACTGTGATTTTTAGTAAAATGCTGCCCTTTATATGTAGGACTTGGTGATGCATACTGCTGGAAAACAAGGTTAATGAGAATGTTTGATCTTTTGATTTTATCTGTTTATTGCATATTTTCCAGAATCCTTTAACGTTATATATTTTTGGTAACCAAATGTTTTGTTTTTAGTTTTAAAAGCAGACGGGTTTACATGGTTTTAACTTTCTACCAAGTGGATTATTTTTATACAATATGGATCCTGGAAAAAGAGATGCACTGGTTGCATGGGTAAGTCATCACAAAAAATTAAATAGACCAGTAGTTCTTTGGCCAATATAAGTATTTGAAAATGTAAAAAAAAATGTATTTTTTTCATTTATTAAGAGGGTAAGCAATGCATCTTTTGTGAAAAATATATTTGAAGATGCTGTCTCTCTCAGATCCCAAAATTTAAGCTTTCATTCAACATTGTTCAATGTTGTAATTATGTTCCCCAAACGAAGTTGGGGAACATATTGTTTTTACTCTGTTTCTTAGGCTGTTTAAATTTAATTCTACGTTTAACGTCACATCTAAAGTTCAAAACCTACGAGGGAGGGAG